TTTGTTTGAATTACTGTCCTCCAACAAATTAACTCCTAATTTTTTTGTCAATGCTCCTGATCCTATCCAAATCTTCTCTGATGAACGTCACAAAATTGCTGATGGATGTATTCTGCAGTCCTCTGCAAATCCACACATCCGTAAACCATTGTTTAACAATGACTGCAAGCAAGCAAGGAAGGCACGGAAAAAGGCTGAAAACTATTTCCGTCGCCATCCTATGGTACATAATTTGAATAAAATTAAAATGTTAAATGCTAAAGCACGACGTCCTTTTAAGCAAAATAAGCACCAGTCGTGGCAAATTTATGTCTCAAAAATCAATTCACGTACGCCGATGTCTAAAGTTTGGATTATGATTCAGAAAATTAAAGGTAAGGGTTCCAAATCAAGCATCCACCATCTCCAAAATGGGGACGTACTACTTACTGATAAATTTGATATTGCAAATTTTGGCTAAACATTCTTCCTCAACTAACTATGATCCTAAATTAAAAAAGAGCAAGAAAAGAAAACTATTAATTTTAAATTAGATAACGGGGAAGATTATAATGAACTTTTCTCTATTCACGAACTCCATACAGCCCTTGAACAAGCTTACGATACGGCTGCCGGAGCTGATAACATTCATTATCAACTCCTCAAACACTTGCCAGAATCATCTTTAGTAAAATTATTGACTATTTTTTTTATCAAATTTGGACGTCTGGGTAATGTCCTCCTTCATGGCGTGATGCTGTAGTTACCCCAATACCCAAACCTGGGCGAGATCATAAGACCCTTCAAATTATCGACTGATATCACTAACAAGCTGCGTTTGGAAAACCATGGAACGCATGATTAATAATCGACTAGTTTGGTACTTAGAGACCAATAATCTCATTACTAACAAACAATGTAGTTTCCGGAAAAAACAATTTATATCTGAGTTTTTAACCGACAGGCAATTCCAAGTCTGCGTGGGTTCTACCCTGTCTGATCATTATCATCAGGATCAGGGTGTCCCACAAGGCAGTATTTTGTCTGTCACTTTATTTAGTATAAAAATTAATAGCCTTTCAAAGGTTTTAAGTGATTCAATTGATGGATCGGTGTTTGTGGATGATTTTAACATTTCTTGTCAGGGCAAAAGCATGAATTCTATCAAAAGGCAACTACAGCTTTGTTTAAATAAAATTCATAAATGGTCCTTAGAAAATGGATTTAAGTTCTCAAAATCTTAAACAAACTGTATTCATTTTTGTAGAAAATATAAACCTCATAAGGACCCAGAACTAATATTAGATAAAACTCCTATTAAAGTTGTACAAGAAGCCAAATTTTTAGGCATAATATTTGATCACCATTTAACCTTTCTGCCCCACATTAAATACTTAAAGAATAAATGTCTGAAGGCTCTAGATTTGTTAAAAGTTGTATCTAATTCCAAGTGGGGAGGGGATCAGAAAACCCTCCTCCAACTATATCGAACACTAATCCGCTCAAAACTGATTACGGCTCCATCATCTATAGTTGGGCTTGTAAAAGCAATTTAGAAAATTAGATACCGTTCATCACCAAGGCTTGAGACTTTTTCTTGGAGCCTTTCGAACTTCACCTATTCCAAGTTTAAATGTGGAGGCTGATGAGCCATCCCTTCAACAATGTCGCATAAATTATCTTTGCATTATATCTCTATATTACGTTCCACTCAATCCAACCCAGCATATGACTGTGTTTTTAATCCTCTTTACAAACATCTCTACAATAAAAAGACATCTGTTATTCCACCACTTGGAATACGAATACAATCAGATGCTTCTGCTGCTCAAATCAATCTTGAAAACATAGCCCCAATTCCACTTTTCGCTTCTCCGCCATGGCAGTTAGTGAAGCCTGAGGTAGACCTAACATTAACCAAACTCAAGAAATCCGACACAAATCAACTAATTTATCAACAGCAATATAATGAATTACGAAGCACTTATGACACTTACAAATCTATATTTACAGATGGATCCAAGGACAGTGACGCTGTTGCCAGCGCCACTATCATTGGATCCAGGACTGGCTCATCCCGACAACCAGATAAGTGTTCTATATTAACAGCAGAAGCAAATGCAATTTTAACTGCACTAAAATATATCGACAACCAAACTAAACATAAAGAGTTCATTATTTTCTCAGACTCTCTTTCTTCCTTCAGGCTATTAAAAACATGTCTTCCACGCATCCACTTTTAATAGAATTTATTGAATTGTTTAATGATCTTGTTACTGGCCAATACGACATCGTTTTCTGTTGGTTACCCAGCCCAGGAATCACTGGGAACACAATGGCCGATGCTGCTGCAAAGGCAGCATTCAACAAATCTGTGACACCACTTCTGATCCCATACAGCGATATCAATCTGTTTATTTGTACTTGAGGCCTCAGGCCCATATACAAATTATACAAAAATACAAATTTTCCATCAAGGAAACCTGTTATTAGATGTTACATCAGAGATCAAATGCAACAGCAGTGGGACACCCAGATAGGTATCAATAAATTACATGAAATTAAACTTAACATCGGTCACACCTACATGGGTTGTCAGTCCAGATTTGAAGAGGTCATTTTACGACGATGTCGTATTGGCCATAGTAGTCACGAATATTTATTAAAAGGTGAAGATCCTCCATTGTGTATCCCTTGTGATGAGAGAACCACACTCAAGCATGTCCTGCTTGACTGTGTTGATTTTGTCATCACAAGATATAAATATTTCAAATCATCTTCTCTAAAGGATCTTTTTAACAATATTAATTCTCATTTAATAATTGGGTTTTTAAAAGAAATAGAAATGTATAGTAAATTTTGATTACATGTCTTGTATAAAATGAATGACCTTTTACAATTTGTAGAATGAATTTATATCTGAGATTGTTACTGGCAGTATCCTCAAAGGGGGTTGACGTAGTGTAAAATTGTCCCCCTGAGAGGATATAGTAAGTCCATTTCATTTTAAGAATAGTTCTGCCTACTACTCCTTTAAACGTAGTATATTTGTCATTTTAATTTTGGCTAATTTTGCGTACAATCACCAGTTGCTGAAGGGATGATGTAAATCCTGCTGGGTTCCATGCAGGAAGCTAAAGTACTGTAAGTCCCCTTGGCCTCTAGTATGGTGATCTAATTTCAGTTGCTGGCGATCTACAGCCCGTTTTTATACCGTGATGTTATATTTAGTGCGATCAATTTTATGATTCTATACTAGTTTTAAAATATATTTCTGTGATAAGTCTTGTTATTTTATTGTCCTTCTTTGGCAGGTTTTTATATAAGTTTCAATATATGTATTATATTTAACTATTGATAGTCACGATTTGGCTGAAATATTGCCAATTTGACTTAAAATTTTAACTCACTCACTCACTCACTCAGAAAATCCAAATATTGAAATCGAACTTCGCATTGCACCTCTCCTATTAGAGGTATAAAAAGAGTAGTTTTCAAGTTATAGGTCACACATAAAATTGACGGAATTCTTTGGTATAACAAGATACCAATACCATTTCTGTTTGGTGCATAATAATCCTGATATTTGCATCATTTTCAAACCCGATTGCAACAGTTGAGGATAACCTTTTTTATGTCAAACATTACTTTCAAACATGGATAAAACTGTTCACATAAACTTCCTCTATTCCTTTATAGTTGTATGAGCATCCATTTGCGAACGTTTGGAAATCATGCTCAGTGGCTAATGTTGCCTATATCATCAGCATAGAATTCGATAGTTCCAAACAATGTTTCGAACATGAGTGAGTGAGTTGGGTTTAACGCCGTATTCCAGTTATATCACAGCGTGTACGTGTCAGCTTAAAGTAGGTGGAAAGCCCGAAGAGACGTAGATTTCAGACGTTTACCACTTTGATGAAACCCACGAGCACGGGTATGGTGCTGACATACCTAGAACCATAATCGATGTGAACCGGGATTCGAACCTACGATCACAGGTTTCAGGCGGCCCCAAGGGACGCAACTCTGCACAACGAATTTCGAACATGAAAGCACAAATGCAAATGAAGAATCGTTTTAGCATATCAATAACATTTGTATACAATAAAAAAGCAAAACAGTCCCCTTGATACCCAATAAGGTGGTCAGACTTTGGTTGCTGGTGGTCTGTTTAATGGATACCACTAAGCCTTTAGCATAATGATGTTTGACATTGGATCTGGTTTGATGTTTTCCCTACCGTTTTCCTGTACTTTGTTAGGTATTTAGTAATGATAAACTTCAGAATTAACTCATCGCGATATGGCTGCAATATTACCCATACAATGTAAAATCTTAACTCGCTCACTCAAAATAAGTTCCGCGAATATTTCACTCTCTATTATTTTTCAGCTATGTGATGACGAGAAATGACTTTCAGGCTTTCAAAATACACGTCTATGAACCGAATCAAAATGGTGGGGCACATGCTGGTGTCTTTTATCAGCATTAGGTGAGGTGAGGTGAAATTGGGTTTAACGTCGCGTCCAAGATTATTGCACTTATATAGCGACGTGCATGCACGTGTATGTGTGTGTGTGGCTGCTTGTACTAGTCCGGACTGATGCCGATTTATAGTGCTAGCTCACTGAGATACCATGCCGCAGTTTAACATGAATACCCCACTCAGACACAGTATACTGACTCCGAGCCGACCAGTCCTTGTTTTAGCCCCTTAATGCCGAGCGCCAGACAGGGTAACAACAAGTACAATCTTTTAACGTCTTTTTGTATGACGCGGCCCGGGATCGAACCCTGGACCTTCCGCTCTCCGGGCGGACGCTCTACCACAAGACCACGGAGGCGGTCCATCAGCATTAGGAATAAAGTATAACAACTCATTGTAAAAAGTAATGGTTGTTCCCGTTTTCTCCGTATTCAAATCACATGCATATGTTTCCATGGAGACACTAATTAAGGAGCCTTTGTGAACTAAAAAGAAATAATATTCATGTTTTGCAAGTCTGAAATAAGCTTACCATGAGCTGGATGACAGAGTGCCAAGAGAATTGGAAGAACACCGAGACACACGCGTACGTAGTCCATTGTAAGTCCCCGAAACCTTGCCTACCACCAACTCACATCACCACGGTGTGTAGACATTAGGGAAGTAAATAGTATATATACTTTGTGATATGAGTAACGAGGCTATATCTATGACATTGTACAGAGTGAAACTAAATACATTTGACAAGTTCCCATCACTCTTCAGAGAGAGAGAGAGAGAGAGAGAGAGAGAGAGAGAGGAGAAGGGGCGGGGGAGAGAGTCACAAACATGAACAGAAACAGAGAATGAGTGTATATTTAAAGTCACATCGGGAATATTTCAACCATATCGGGATGCAGCTATTCATTTTTGCACCAAGTATTTGTTTCCAAAACTGATCCATTCGTTTGCGTTGATTTAGATGTTTACGTCACACTGATATAATATGTCAATCGACAAAACTCATACAAAACGTCTAAGCTGCATCTTCAATTTTGTCATGGCGATTTTCATTGTCCGTCGGGATCAGGAAAACTATTTTCAAATGCTAATGACACATGCCTGTACCTGATTAACACTGATTAAATATTACTATGTCTTGGTGAGTGCTCTCAAGTCGGCGAACTGGAATGGTCTGTCTACTGATACTCTGGGGTTTGTGTTATGAAAAAGTGTTACATAAGGTCCACATGTGTACATGTAAATAGATAGAATATTAGCTTGATGATACAATGTATCACAGAAATAGAAGTGGCGTCATTTCCTACATTTCAAATAAGCTTAGTTTTGATAACTCATCTTGGTAATAAATGTTACTTATCTGTCAATCGAAAAGGTGCAATGTTTGTGAGTGATTGATGTATACTTGGTCAAAGGGAGGTAATTCATCTTGTACCACGATCGCTAGTACGAGAATCTGTACTTTACTGAGAAAGAGTTATCCCAAATATAACATTTGTTACATTTGACCACTTTCTATAGGGAATTGTGTATTCAATACAGGTGGATGTACACATGCATTATTTTTTATTGCCTCAAGACATGATCATGATAGAATTCAGAAAATAAAACAAAACAAAACTAATCGTTTTATTTAAGGTAATGTAGCTAATGTAACAACTCTGTGAAGAGCCTAAAATGGTTAAAACAGTTGGTTTTAAATTGAATGACTGTAAAGACCATCAACCTGAAGACTTCCCAAAATTTAGTTGGACAGCATTTAACGTCAAATCTAATTCACCCTAATTTTTGTTAAATTTTTTAAAAGTTCTTAAAAATGTGCACACTTATTCTGATGGCTATATTGCCATTGTCATTGATGCCACAACAACTGGCGAGGTAATTTGTCCTCCAATATATGTATGAGAAACGTTTGAACCTTGATTTAAGTTTTAACTGAATTATGATTTACGTATTTTGTTGATTTTTAGGCCTCCCTTGTCAATTTCTAACTTTTGTTAACTTATTACTTTTGTTGTCCTGACATGACCTTTTATATTCTCTCTGCCTCATAACATTCATTCACCCGATGAAGGAGCAAGCATATACTCCGAAACGTTGTGAAAAACGTTGTGTTGACATCCATAAATTCTCTTCCTTGTTGGAATATTGCTGAAAGCCTCGAAAAACTATACTCATTCAAATATCATCAATCATAAGGACAGAAGCGGTGGGGAAGCCTTGGCGTGAAGGTGTCTGCTGGCCCGGGTTCGGTTCCCCACATTGGTACAAAGTGTGAAGCCCATATATTGCTAAAAAGCGGTATAAAATCCAACTCACTCACTCATTCATAAGGACAACAGGGATGCATGATTATACCACTTGTGTAACCCAAATGTCGTGTATTTGTTTCGTATGCTGCTGCGATGTATGACAATTCATTTACAGATCCCTTTGAACAATATTAACTCGGGTGTTGTTAGCGAAAATAATGATTGTCCCTTGTTTTGAGTAGGTATTCTATCTGAATAAAGGGAAACAAATTGCTGTAAATATTAAATGTTATGAATAGACAATGCTTTTTTAGAAAGTGGCCAAATGTAACAAAAGTTATATTAAAGATGACACTTTCTTAGTAAAGAATAAAGTTTCGGGCTTTTTGGGGTTGAGTCACGGGAGTCAACCCCCAAAAGTGTGGTCCTAAATATAACTTCAACATTCAATGTTATTTTGAATAATCACATATATGAGAAGAATTGAAAATGGGTAGCACAGCTTCTTAGTAATAATAGCGACAAACCTCTATCCGTGGTCATAAGATATAAAACAAAAATGCAACGATTAGTAGTTAAAAGGTTCAGTAGCGAGAAATCCCTCCACATGCCCGGAAGACGTCCTCCAGTCAGACGCTGGATCTGCTGAAGGGGCACCTGCAGCCACTCTTCATGCAAAGCTGCTTCAATTCACGTATGTTCAGGAGAAGCCAGTCCCTGTAACAGACGGTCAAGGATTTCCCAAATGTGCTCAAGCGGATTCAGAGTGACGGAGTGAGTTGCTCCGCTCCGCTTTGAACCATATTCCAGCAATTATCAGGGTGTGTCAGCTTATTGAAAGAGGAAAGCCCAAAGTAATGCAGATATCAGACATTTACCACTTTGGTGAAAACCACGAGCGCGAGTATGGTGCTGACAGACCCAGAAACATAATCATTAGGAACCGGGATTCGAACCCATGATCATAGGTTTCTAGCGTGCCCAAGGGACGCAACTCTGCACAACAATTTTCGGCGCCTGAGACGACAGAGCCACCCGTACCACCGATTCAGAAATTCACTTACTTTTGATGGTGCTTTGTCAGCATTCTCCAGGATAAAATTCCTGCTGCCCTCAAACCGTTCCCCAAGGTTCTGGACATTGGCTGGGTAACCATTGTCGCTTCACGACGGAACTCATTGCAAATGGATGTCGTCGTATTAATCCAAGCAGTGCCTTGTTTTCACGAGAGGCCGTCCTGACCGTGGAAGGTCCTTCACAGCATTGGTTTAACCAATGGTTTCCCACCACTGTGTAATTGTCGCCCAGTTGACTCTGTACGTATATTGACACTAATGGTAATCATATTGGTAATTTATTGTATAGTAATGTTTTACATTCTTACAAGTATCTATATTTTATTTATATATAAACATGTAATATGCAGGAACTCAATGGAGCCGAATCTATTCAAAAAACAATCACCATTCCCCAACCAAAGCATATTAGCGCTCCAGATATAATTCATCCGTAACTGTCTTAACCATCCTCATCACCTAAAGATCCTGAAAAACAATAATAACATAAACATCTGACCCGGCCACTGAAACCCCAACTCATTCATCACCTGACCCGAAGACAGCCTCTATCAGACGACCAAAACGGTAATCAACTACGAAACGTTTGAAACATCCCAAAACAGCCAAAGTTGACACTAGTACCGCTGATGTCTATTGAAAACACCATTATAATGTTGACGATCCCTGAAAGTACGTTTTAGTTCCACAGTGGGTTCATGGGAGTCTGCGAGACTTCAAACAACTGTTCTGCTAATTATCCCTCATTAAAGTAAATGTCAATCAAGAATGAAATGGTTAGATTGAGAGACCGTCTGCTTAATGTGTATTAAATGTTTTAATCCCTCAGGTTTAAACTACATTTTAGTCTGTTACTATTTAAACACGTGGGCCTTTATTGCATATTACCCAAAAATAGTTAAGGATCATCTGATTCTTTCACATCAGTATTGTTGATCTGTCGTAGTAATGTCATTTAATGTTTGTTGTGTTCATTATTATTCCTGCATTTTGATTAGCTGAATTGGTCATGTGTTATTTCATTCATTTCCCAATGAATGTAAACAAAATAAGCCACGCATACCTCGGGGGACTACTTTTATTACTGCGGAATCTCGGGGAATCCCAATATTACAGTCGGGGGAATTACCTTTCTGCTCACGTATATCGCCCTGCACAGGACATTTAGGGATATTCCTGCATAGTGGTTATCCAAACCAATCTTTGAGACCGAAGGCCGAGAAGGAATGAAACAGCAAACGTGCAGGCTCGCTCGCCTTTTTTCCCGCTTCCCTGGGTTCCACAATTTTCGTGTCTTCGGTTTGTTTTCTAACCCGCATTTTTCCAACTGTGTCTTCCCGTTCTCAGGGAACTAATGTTTGAATCTGGCGGTAACTGACCACGTCATTTGATACAGCCGCCTTCTCCCGGGCACATTTGTTTCGGTTCGTTACAGTCTGACCGTTGAAGTTCTTCCCGCCTCTTGCCTTGATTGACAGATCCTATGAACTTTGTTTTGATCCTTCTCCCCGTTGATTGACTGCTGACTTTGTTAGGGTGTCAAGTAATGTACGAAAATTAAACATTCACCTAATTCATGTCACGCCACAGTATGTATTCTTACACCTGGAATGTTTATTAATGTCGTCATTTTTGTCTCCTGATATTTGATTAAACTATTGTCGATGCGCAAACTGTATGAATCTGCGTCACATATTCTTACAAACATTTGCACATCGGTCTTTCCATTAATACATCAATGAACTGGGGAAAAATCCACAGTCAATCCTTTAAAGAATGAATCGGATGACCCTTAACTATTTCTGAGCAGTATATATTAAAACATCTTCTTATAGTGCAAACTCTACACCTTGTTGTTCCTTTAACTTATGCTAGTTAAAATGCTAAACCGTGCCTACTAAAATCATAGTGATATTCCACAGCATACAAATCGGGATTTACATTCCCTTTATCATTATAAGAAATGCTTGAATAAATATACAACTTTAGGATATGGTTAGCTTGAAATCGTTTGTTTATTTGTTTGTTGTTTAACGAACGCCGCACTGAAATATTGCTGAGTGTGGCGTAAAACAACAAACAAACAAAACAAAACAAAACAAAGAAGAACCAAATGGCCAGCTGATGTTCCTATGATTTTGGGTGTCTGGTCTTATGTTACATACATGTTTGTTTGTTTGTTTGTTGTTTAACGCCGCACTCAGCAATATTCCAGTTATATGACGGCTGTCTGTAAATAATCGAATCTGAACCAGACAATTCAGTGATTGACATCATTAGCATCGATCCACGCCATTGGGATATCAACCAAATCAGGGAGCCTAACCACCTGATCCCGTTAGTCGCCTCTTTACGACAAGCATAGTCGCCTTTTACGCAAGCGTGAGTTGTTGAAGACCTGTTCTACCCCGAATCTTCACGGAGTTTGTTACCTCTGAGCGTGTACAAACGCGTTTATGCCGACATAAAGTATCATGTGAGATTAGGTGTTGAAACAAGAACTGATAGAACTGACATATATTTCACTTGTATTTATTGCGGGTACAATAAAAATCAGCAAAAAAGACCCATAACATCATCTGTTTATACAACGGTTCATGGCATGCATAGTTGAACGATTTAGATCAACATGTTGAGAATAGTGATATATTAATTCAAGGGTTTTGACGGCTGCTACCGGTTGGGCTTTGGGCGTACACCTGTTCATCAACAATTGATCGTGATTCATAAACACATGATTATGATATGGTCAGAATCGCAAAATGAACAGTGCTTTTAGTAGAGATTTCTTATGATTGTGGAAAGGGTTGTCGCCTTTGATAGTCATGTCTAAAAGCCCACACATATGAAATCTTATACTGTCACATCGCCTAAAAAAACTGAAAAATGTTTCATTTATATTTATTTATTTTCGGGATGGAGCAGAGCAGTGGCATGACATTCGTCATCTCCTCCTTGTTGTTGTTGCTTTAAGTGTTTCAAGAGGTCGCCTCCTGACTTAGCCACATTGGCTGACCTGTTCCTGTTTAGGACGCATGTGTGTGAGTAGGTTACACATATCTATTGTGAGTTTTAATATTCATAAAATTTATGTTTTTGAATTGATAAGATATCTATTTTCGTATATTGATTTGATTTGTTATACCTTTGGCTGCTCTGTTTATGTAGCAGTCCATCTCTCAGAAATAGAGTTAGTTTGGCCTTCCCTATTGCATCTCTTGGCTTTAGGAGATCGAGAGCGGATCGTCATCTCCCTGATTGATTCACGTATAAATAAGTAAGTTGCATTTGACTGGCTAGCAAAAGAATCTGTTTATGTGAACCAAATTTCTTTACACCACGCCCACGTGCTAACTTCTTTGTCCTGATTGGTTGATAATAGAATGGGCGGGGCATGAGTCTCATTAATGCGCTGAACGATGTAATTGATTTCGTATAGTTGTCCACAATTTGTTTGGTTGTGTTAATGATCAAATAATCATTCTGTGAAGTTAATATTGTTGGCGTATTTATATTTTTTTAAATCTTTCCACATGGTTTTGCGTATATTGTTTATCCGCAACTCGGATTTACAAAGTATGCACAACGGGTTATACGTTGATACAAATACAGATGTCCATTAAATATTATAAACAATTTTTGCAAACAATCAATATCATTACCATGCAGTGTAATGGGATATGACGATTCGTTATTTACAAAGTAAGTACAGCTAACAATTGTTTGGAACAGTTCATGACGACATGATTTTTGTTTTAGGGTGATCTTCTCAATTTGCCGGCATGTATTGTTCTCTATTGAAATAAAAATCGGTAATCGGTTCCTTTGATATGCCGACAGATATGAAATACAATAAGTAAAAATTACCTGACCGAAATAATTCCTAAAACAATTGGAATTAAGAATATAGTTAGTTCCAGACTCCTGTTTGTTTGTTTATTTGTTAATGCTGCAATCAGCAATATTCCAGCTATATGACGGCGGTTCGAAAATAATCGAGTCTGGACCAGACAATCCAGTGATTGATATCCAGACACGTGTGTAGACTGCTGCTGGCTTAGTGAGTGAGTGTAACTGTATAAACATATTGTAACTGTAACATATATACATTTTATTATTCACTTCATAAAATGAAATATTACTTCAGGTTCATACGCAGAATAGAATGAATAGCAAAAACACCATAGTAATTGTACCCAGTATCGTTTTCAGTTTATAGTTTTAACACTATAACCCAACAAGGTCGGAAACAGCGTGACCACATTGAAGACATGATATAGTGCCATCTTCCTGTCTACATTACTGGGTGTCAAACCGCTCGTCCAGCTTGCGGTACTTTTTCTGTTGGGTATGAGTGTCCACATGCGGTCAGTTGGAGGATCGTTACCCGGGCTCGATTACCCACATGGGTACACTGTGTGACTCCTGGTATCCCCCTTTGTGATATTGCTTGATTATTGCAAAAAGCGCAGTAAAAGTGTCCAAAGGCTAACTCACTCACTCACAATTCGGCAGCAATAATTTTGGGGGATGGACTTCACACATTGTATCAATGCGAATATTCGAACTCTGGTCCAATTGATCTCTTCAATCACACACTATTTACAGAAACAACATGCAATGACGCCAAAGGAACTTGTCATCGTATCAAGGCATCATGCGACGGTTAATGGTTTAAGCCCTCGCTTGACTGCAACCAGCCCCACGTAACTTACTGTGTTGGTTCTTGGGTTCCACCACCTGGTACATAATAATTATTCATCTGCTTATTACTCTATAATAAAATGTTGGGACCGGTTGCATTGAGCCGCAATTTGATATGAAGAGTTGCATACCCTAGGTGTATCAGGATCCGATTTTCATGGCTTTGAATACCACATTCCTCCGTGAATTGTTCTTTTTCTGTGCTCGCGAGTTTCAACATAAAACATATACATACCACAGATACATCAGATGAACTTACTTTTATATATATTTTGATATCCTCATATCATTCCAGTTTTTCCTCAGAAATAGGACATAAACGGGAAAACACGTAAGACCGTAATTATAACGCGATAAAATCTGATAAAACAGTTTCATCTTTCATTCTTCATAAGAGATATATTTAGATATTATAACTTAATTAAACCTATAAAACATGCTATGTTTTCATAATTAGTAAAGATGCTAATATATCTGGAACGCTGTTGTTTAGAGAATTCATTTGAATCAAGCGATTGAGATACTTATGGTGACCTCTACGGATTTAAGCAAAGTATGAATCGTATACATACTTGTTCCTCTCCGAACCAAACCTTCGCAATTGTAAAATAACGATTATCTTTATTCAAAGACCAAAGATCAAAGTCCTAATACATAAGTTAATACAACGTGCATATGGCAGGTATTTATAGCCCCTGGGTTTTATGATAGCTTTATAGTTTTATACGTAGATGACAAATTGTGTAGGTGGCGGGTGCTACCGATAGAGCGGGACATGCTTTCCTTTACAGCGAACACCTGGTGTCATCACTGATATTTAGTGATCTATTCATGTAAGTTTCACCTCTAGTTTCCCTTTAACGCTCAGTGGAATCCGTTTCGTCGTATAATTGAGACGGGTTATTCTCTTGCATTGACGTTTTATATTTACATTTTATTTTAATATATGGAATACCCTTTTGTAACGAAATATGCGGACGTGTGTCCTCCAACATGCAAATAAATTTAGACATATCGGGAAACGTTTATTTTCCTTTTGGTAAATCCCGTTTTCTGACCAATTTATATTGAGGACATAACATTATAACATCATACCATCTTCCATATCATTTTTACAAAGGAGCAAAATCTTTCATTATTATTTTTAGGGCTTAATCCATCTAGCTCTCTCGAGCAGTAATGTATGTCACCACTTATCAGTGCTTATAGTTAATGATCCTAAATAAATGGGTTGTTCTCATTATCTGCCATAGGGGAGCACCTGTTTTGATAATTATTTGCAGATCTTTGTGGTCATAGATCCTATGGAATGCAATAAGGTAAGGTGACTGATCCGTTAACGATAACCAGCGTAGTGAATCATTACCCACGATAGAACACACCAGCACTCTTTACTTAATAGCAATGCATCTACGTCCCTAATGTGCCGAAATCATTAGCTGTAGATGACATTCGCTGGCTGATTGTGTGTGTTGAGCCTGCAATGGACTGCTTCTTTGTAGTGTTGTATTTGTTGCTTCAGTGTAAGCTAAGTGCTGGTAAGTAGTGCTTTATTGTGCCATTTAGTGTCAGCAATTTGTATTTGGATCTTGACAATGTTTCTCTTTTCTTGGTACGTTTTTGTGTAGTTAATACCACACATGAATATTTATGACTTTTGTTATAACTATGGAATATATGCATATGTCATGTCTATTTGTGAAGTGTTACATGCTTTTGATAATTCATGTGGCTGAAGGTTTAAGACAACACATAACACGGAACTGTCAAACATTCTCGAAAATATGTAACTCTAGAATATCTTAAGCAAATCAAACGTATATGCCCCAGAATAAATATATGGGAGAATATATACAGATGTTGACACATTATGTATGTTTCACAACATACACTTTAATATACCGATAAAGGGCGTACGATAAATGTATGAAATACGTAATTGAAACGAATGCAACAAAACCGAGTGGTCATGTTATCACGTTCGTAACCAGTGGACAGGGATGTTCAATACTGAATCAACCGCCCACAATATCAAACTATTCCAAGAACACGAGACCTTTCACGGTAATTTTAACTGTCGTCATTTTCTTCAAAACATCCTAGAATGTGAGTCTGGGCGTTATGGAACCGACTGCCTTGGAAGATGCAGTGAGGGTTGTGATGGTGGCTGTGGCAATGAAGACGGACGATGTACCTGTAAACCTGGCTGGTTAGGAACCTACTGCACACTGAGTACGTTGACCCCTTTGTAACTTCTGTAAAATGACAACTGCTGTATTCTAGAATGGGCTGCAACTAACCCCTCCTCGCCATCAGATACCAAATGTCTTTTCTTTCTTTTGGAGGTGAGCTGACTATTAGCCAAATTGACTTTCAAAGTGAATTTGTGAGGTTTGTTTGTTATCCAACAATTACCATAATAGTTGTCCCAACCATCCAAACAAAGATTGAAGACTGCAATTTGTGAATTTACAACGTAAACGCCAGACAGTACCCAGTCTCGATTATCCGCTGAAACAGATTCCATTGGGCATAAAAGGGTAAATGGCGATACAACTCATATGAATGAATAAGTGAAATTCAGTAATGACACCAGGTGTCCGTGAAAAGGGTAAGCACGTCCTGCCCTACCTGAATTATGGCCAGACTTAACAAATATAATCCTAATAGTTAAATGCAATTGTATACTACTCAAACACCAGCTAGCTGTCCTTAAAAATATAATAGCTTCGGCGAATGTCACACAAGAAGTCACACAAACGTCACAAAACAATTAAGCCATACAAACGTAGGTACACAGCTGCACGATGTTGATACGTAAGCAAGAATCAGTTCTTTAGTTTACCAGCAGTTCATTTCGTCTCCCCAACGCGGTACCATGATACCTTTGTATGGAGCCAGTAATCCTCTACAAATTAATTGTATCTAGGACCTGTAAATCAATGTATATTCCTTGAATATTGCTTCCATTTACCCACGTAACGAGCCACCCAAGACATATACGCTAATATTTAGCCCAGATATGCAACTTGGCATAAAGGTGAAATTTCCTGTGAAAAGGATCATTCCCTATATTTGAAAACGTGCGCGGCCTACAATGACATAATGACCATGAATTCAGAGGAAACCCTAATGGATTGGTACCAATATGCCCATTTTGACACAATCCACCATCATGTCGAGATAAACTTAACCTTTGCCAGTGATTTGTGTTTTCTGTGTGTGAAAAGGTAAAAACGTCACATCATTCAACAAAAGCGACCGTTGTACACTACATCTGTTGTCCGAGGCATTGTAGAATACCCATACAAGTCACATTAATGAAAGAATATATCTCCAAATCTGTCAGTATTGTGTTAGCAATATAATTCAGTCAAATCACGTCAGGGGTTACAAAAATACGCATTTCCCACTTATAGGAAAATCCGGACTGAGGCCTGACAAGTGAAACGCTTTAACCACTGAACTATCCGAATATCCACAATCTAAGGCTTGCGCTTGCAAAATAGTATATGCGTACTAAATGTATAAATATACTGATACACAATGAACGCATAATAATGTTTTCAAGAATAAGAGGGACGGTGGGTAGCCTAGTGGTAAGAGCGTTCGCTCGTCACACCGAAGGTCCTGGTTCGATTCTCCACATGGGTACAATGTATGAAGCCCATTTCTGGCGTCCCCCTCCGTGATTATGACGGAATATTGCCAAAAGAGACGTAAAACCATACTCACTCATTTCAAGCATCAGCCAAGATACGTTTTTGTGCTTATGGCCATCTCCAAACACGTTGAATGAGAGTCGAACCCGTACAACGACATTGTTGTGTTGGATCATCTTATGCCTACATAGAACACCTTAATTTGATTTGCGTGGCAATTTTGCTAAATGTTGCATAAATTCGAATATGCATTTTCAAAGCGTTTCAGTATACAGTAAACTACGTTTAGAGCGAACTCCCTTATAACGAACTGGCAGATATAACGAACTATTTTTGGCCCCCTCCTATTTGCTTGTATATATGCTTATGGCGAACTACGGTTAAAACGAATTAGAATTGTTGGTCCCTTTGAGTTCGTTATAACCGTAGTTTGCTGTATATAGGCTTGTATGCTTATAAAGAACTACGGTTATAACGAAATAAAATTTGTGGTCCCTTTGAGTTCGTTATAACCGTAGTTTACTGTACTAGTATCAGCTGACTAGACATGTACAGTATCTCAAGTTAACCTAATATTCCAGTCACAATGAGCAATATTATCACTCCAGGCCATCCAATTATCCAATGTTTGCACTTACAAAAATGGACCAGTAATGGTCCCCTTCCATGGCGGTATAACATTAGGGACACTTATTAACGAATGACATGCTGGTAAACACAACCAGTTAACCTTTCATTATGACTCAATGATCATGCATCAAGAAAACTAAGGGGACTTCATGGGACTTTATTTGAACACATTTGGTGACATGCATTTCTCTACGTACACATTGATGCAGCATGCTGTAGACATAATTCGAATTAATAACATTAAAGTTGCTTCGAATGTTTACATTTATGTGAAACGACGAAATGATAACACTAGCTTTGGGTGGTGAACAATCCCTTTTACTGACCAAGGGACGATCTTTAAGTGAGTGATTGAGTGAGTATAGTTATACACCGCTTTTAGCAATATTCCAGCAATATCATAGCGTAAGACACCGTCTGGACGATCTTTAAGTGAGTATAGTTATACACCGCTTTTAGCAATATTCCAGCAATATCACAGCGTAAGACACCGTCTGGACGATCTTTAAGTGAGTATAGTTATACACCGCTTTTAGCAATATTCCAGCAATATCATAGCGTAAGACACCGTCTGGACGGTCTTTAAGTGAGTGAGTGAGTATAGTTATACACCGCTTTTAGCAATATTCCAGCAATATCATAGCGTAAGACACCGTCTGGAGGGTCTTTAAGTGAGTGAGTGAGTATAGTTATACACCGCTTTTAGCAATATTCCAGCAATATCACAGCGTAAGACACCGTCTGGACGATCTTTAAGTGAGTGATTGAGTGAGTATAGTTATACACCGCTTTTAGCAATATTCCAGCAATATCATAGCGTAAGACACCGTCTGGACAGTCTTTAAGTGAGTGAGTGAGTATAGTTATACACCGCTTTTAGCAAAATTCCAGCAATATCATAGCGTAAGACACTGTCTGGACGATCTTTAAGTGAGTGATTGAGTGAGTATACTTATACACCGCTTTTAGCAATATTCCAGCAATATCACAGTGTAAGACACCGTCTGGACGATCTTTAAGTGAGTGATTGAGTGAGTATAGTTATACACCGCTTTTAGCAATATTCCAGCAATATCACAGCGTAAGACACCGTCTGGACGATCTTTAAGTGGGTGAGTGAGTCAGTATAGTTATACACCGCTTTTAGCAATATTCCAGCAATATCACAGCGTAAGACACCGTCTGGACGATCTTTAAGTGAATGATTGAGTCAGTATAGTTATACACCGCTTTTAGCAATATTCCAGCAATATCACAGCGTAAGACACGGACCGGACGATCTTTAAGTGGGTGAGTGAGTCAGTATAGTTATACACCGCTTTTAGCAATATTCCAGCAATATCACAGCGTAAGACACCGTCTGGACGATCTTTAAGTGGGTGAGTGAGTCAGTATAGTTATACACCGCTTTTAGCAATATTCCAGCAATATCACAGCGTAAGACACCGTCTGGACGATCTTTAAGTGAATGATTGAGTCAGTATAGTTATACACCGCTTTTAGCAATATTCCAGCAATATCACAGCGTAAGACACCGTCTGGACGATCTTTAAGTGAATGAGTGAGTCAGTATAGTTATACACCGCTTTTAGCAATATTCCAGCAATATCACAGCGTAAGACACCGTCTGGACGATCTTTAAGTGAATGATTGAGTCAGTATAGTTATACACCGCTTTTAGCAATATTCCAGCAATATCACAGCGTAAGACACGGACCGGACGATCTTTAAGCTGTGGGTCGGATTACAATGTACGTCAGGTATGACTACCATGCTTCCCTACTCAACTGAATAGCAGTGATCTATAAAACATAACTATACTTTCGATGGTCGTAATAGAAGATAGTCAAGCGTCCCTGCCATATATCACGTTAAATATCATATATCAACGACTGAATGGAACAAAACAAGTGGTGCAGCCACGAATGAAATATGCATCTATTCTCATTCATAAGATCTACAAGTACCTGACTGTGTTATTCTGAAAGCTGTTGCTGTGGTGGAAACTACAACTGTAGCTGTTGTCATAACGTTGTGACTGTAATTGCTGCAATTACTAACAGTGGCAATTTCCAGACTATTCTCATACTCATTACATCTATTTCTATGAGTGAAAAAAAATAAAAAAAATAACTTCTTTCTTTTAAGAAAACGGTACTTTGTTAGCATACCTGGCGTATAGAATCAACAATATTTATAAGAATTTATAATATACCTCAACGTTCTCAATGGTATATCAACAGATCAACGCAGAAACAAACCCTGGTATTGAGACTGCGTTTGCTCTGCATCCTCCCTGCAACCAAACTGTCATTTTAAACAATACACTTTGAAGTCCAATAACACCATGTATCACATAAACAATAAAAAGTATAGTTACTTATTTCAACTCAAAAGTGATAATTTAAAAATTCAGATTCACATTTATAATTTTGTTTGATTCCAAATAAAACAACATCATTGAAGTCTTCAGGGCCTGTTGTGATGTATAGTGTTATTCATGACTGCCCATTTGCTCTCCTGACATAACTATCCATCCACGTGACACGAGGAAAATATCTGTAAAAAATACACTTGCTTAAAGAATATATCTAAACCAAGACGTTCAGTTGACATGACAGGTCAAGTGTCCATATCACTTACAAAAAGCCACGAACTGCTGTCACATGTAGAGAAAAACTCGATAGGGAATTTGAGCCAGATCGAAAATGTCAATTTCCCAACAGTTGGATATCACTTCAGACATGTATATTGCGCTAGTTCACAATATATGTAGTTCCTGCATATCATTGATACTGAAATGTTCATAACATTTTTCATCCGCTATTTTACAATTTATATTACTTATAATTTTCACTACAAGCAAGACTACAATTCAATCTGACAGGTGATAATATCAGAAACATGATTAGGTCTTTGACAGGCATCTAGAAGTGATACACATAAGGAAGAGAATTTATGGATGTCGACTTTATTATGAGGAACACAACGTTTCGGAAGATATGCTCACCTGATGAAGGAGTAAGCATATACTCCGAAACGTTGTGTTCCTCATAATAAAGAAGTCGACATCCATAAATTCTCTTCCTTAGAAAGATGAATAGACATCATTCTCAAAAAAAAAAAATTAATTAAAGTTCATATCACATAAACCGGAGGCTTTGTGTTTTAGCATGTCCACCTGGCTTCTATACGGAAGGAGACGCATGCACAGAGTGTGGAGATGGGTGTGAGGGTGGAGTGTGTGACGCTGCTGACGGTGGTTGCAGCTGTGCACCAGGCTGGGCAGGTCGTGGCTGCACGTTAGGTATATAAATTGTCAATGCAAGAGAATGACCAGTCTAGATTATCAGCCGAAACAGATTCCATTTGGCGTAAAGAGCAAAATATCTGTGAAAATTATATGAATTGTCCACTGAAAATCGGTGTTCGCGAAAAGGGTAAGGATGTCCTTCCATACCGGTCACGCCTGCCATTTACACAATTTGCATAGGAACGTATTTATTGCCTGACGCCGCATAGTAGTATTCCTGTCATGTGACGGCGGACTGTTAACAAACCAATCAATTGAACGATGAACTAGACAATCCAGTGACTCCATAGTGCACTTACTGATTTTGTTAAAACTTATAGAAACGATATGTTAAATTTGAAATACAGTTGTTGTTTATAAGTACAGAGTTTAGAAAGTATAGAAAACCCTTTAAAAAAATGATATATTCGTTTTGCAATAAAAGTGGTGGGAGGGGGAGGGGGAGGGGGTGCAGTTTGTATGTCTCGGCATAGCTAAATGTTACTGAGCTTATGATGAAACTCGAGAACTTCAGTTCACAAGTAGAAACATCGTCCTAGTTTAAGTATATTTAAACGATCTTTCCGTTACAGAGTGCATGGATGGCTACTACGTGACGGACCAAGGCTGCGTGAAGTGTGGTGCAGGATGTGAGGGGGGAGGGTGTAACGCTACAGACGGTAACTGTCCTTGCAGAGCTGGCTGGACAGGAAGTGGCTGCAGCAGTATGTAATGTCCTCGTATTGTTTATAGTAAATGAGTATTGTTTTACGCCGCTTTAAGCAATATTCCAGCAATATCACGCCGGGGGACACCCAAAATGGGCTTCACACATTGTACCCATGTGGAGAATCGAACCCGGTCTTCAGCGCGACAAGCGAACACTTTAACCACAATGCTACACCACCGCCCCACTATTTACACATACAAGTTGAAATGTAAAAGTAATTCTATTATACAGTCTGTATGAATAAGGAACTCTTGATACACATGTCATGGGAAAATGATTGTTGATATATCTGTGTATGCAACTATGTGCACACTCATAAAAACATGCACTTGTAAATCAGTGATGACACCAGGTGTTCTGGAAATAATGATGAAAATGCCTTCACGAATAAGCAAAATGGAAGATCTGATTTTGTTATTGCTACAATATTATGTAAGCGATTATCTAACAGTATTTGTTCTTCCAGAATGCAAGGACGGCTTTTACATGGACGGACACAACTGTACGGAGTGTGCTCCTGGGTGTCAGGGGGGAACCTGTAACGCTACTGACGGAAGCTGTTCGTGTAGAGCTGGCTGGACAGGAACTAACTGCACATCACGTATGTCCTACGTGAGGAGACAGTTCAATGTTAACGTTGCATCGGCAGTGTTTCAGCCACATAGCTACTCACGTTAGTCGACGCAGGCTCTCTGAATCCTTTATGTAAACTATCATACATGTCATAATGTGCCTATCAGATATGAATATGACATTGTATGTATGTTTGTTTATTTGTTTGTTATTTAACGACGTACTCAGCATATTGCAGACGGCGGTCTGTAAATAATTGGGAGGTGACTATGCTTGTCGTAAAAGGCGACTAACGGGATCGGGTGGTCAGGCTCGCTGACTTGGTTGATGCATGTCATCGGTCTCAATTGCGTGGATCGATGCTCATGTTGTCACTGGATTGTCTGGTCCAGACTCGATTATTTACAGACCGCCGTCATATAGCTGGAATATTGCGGAGTGCGGCGTTAAACAACAAACCAACCAACCAGCCAACCAAATAATTGGGTCTGGACCAGACAATACAGTGATTGATATCATTAGCATCGATCCACGCATTTGGGATACGATGACATGCATCAACCAAGTCAACGAGCCTGACGACCCGATCCCTTTAGTCGCTTCTTACGCCAAACATAGTCGCCTATAACGTCAAGCATGGGTTGCTGAGGACCTGCTCTCATCGGTTATTTCTGTAACTTAATTGACATGCCTGTTACATTAACATGCTTACCATACATGAAGATGCATTTCACAGTGATAGGCCTATGAATGACTGATGGAGCAAATGCAATTTTACAACGTTTATCAGTTCTTACATTGCACAATTCACCAGGGTGTGACTTTTCTTCATTTGCAGTTTGTACTGAGGGAACATATGGACTAGACTGTACAGAGGAGTGTAGCACAGGATGTACACCAGGTTCCTGCCACCACATCACCGGTGACTGCAACAACCAGTGTAAAGACGGATGGACAGGTCCCAGTTGTGAACACAGTAAGTTTTCATTATCAGTCAGTGTAATGCATGGTGTCCATGTCGCTTTGTATATTTACGGTTGTTTTTGCCTTGTACATTGTATTTTAACTGGTGTTGATCAATGGTGAATGTGGAGTTGTTAGAGGACAAAATAGTTCGTTTATCTAGCATTGCGTTATGCGCAGCTTTTCATGCGTTCGTTTAATAGTAATTACATTGCAAAGTTATGTACATACAAAGTACATTTTCATCTGCAGTTTGTATTGACGGAACATACGGACGAGGCTGTATAGGGGAGTGTAGCGCGGGATGTACACCAGGGTCCTGCCACCACGTCACTGGTGACTGCAACAATCAGTGTAAAGACGGATGGACAGGTTCACGTTGTGTAGAACGTAAGTGTTTTGTCTTGAAGGATTTTAAAACAACAAAGCGCCGGTAGCACTAATCGGAATCGAATCCCAAGGCTGTTCATACAATGTTTATAGTGTCAGTGAGTGAGTTGGGCATAACGCCGCTTTTAACAGTGTTCCAGTTATATCGCGGATTGTCAGAATATTGTGGGGGGAGCTCGCAGTGATGCAGGCCTCAGACGTTTAACACTTCGGTAAAAAACCACGAGCACGGGTATGGTGCTGACAAACCTAGAAACATAATCGGGGCGAACCGGGATTCGGACCCACAATCATAGGTTTCTCGCGTGCCGAAGGGACGATCTGTGCACGGCGAAATGCGGTGCCTTAGCCGATTTGTGACATAAAGATGAAGCAAAATTGAAAAGGTGTAATCAGATGAGCATGTTTAGAAGCACGCCATGCTGTTGAAGCATATGTCAAATATGAACTTATTGTATAAAGACTTATTGTATTCCAACATGATTCTCGTCCACCTACAAGTGATACACCGCTTTGTTTCCCAGGGTGCGGAGATGGGTTCTATGTGGATGGAGACAGCTGTATGGACTGCGGGGCTGGGTGTGTTGATGAGACATGTAATTCTGCTAACGGTAGCTGTATCTGTAGAGATGGATGGGCAGGAAGTGATTGCAATGGTATGTAAAGTCCCAGTATTTGTCAACCAATCGAAATATAGTCAGGACAAATATGTAGCGACAGAGTTTTCCATCTATGTAACATGTGTATTTAAACATTTTCTTCGTTATTTGTGTTACGACATGTCAAAGACTTCGTCAATATTAAACGTCAACGCCTGAGAATAACCAGTCCAATTATCCGACGAAACAGATTCCACTGGGCGGAAGAGTCACGATAGCGGTTAGGGGAACACGGGTGGATCACCGAAAATCAGTGATGACACCAGGTATTGGCGAGATATAAAATGATGACAATACTCTCACGAATGAGCAGCATGGAAGATCTGATCTTGTTATTGATACAATATGTAAGCGAGTACCTAGTGGTACTTTGTTCTTCCAGAATGCAAGGACAGCTTTTACATGGACGGACACAACTGTACGGAGTGTGCTCCTGGGTGTCAGGTGGGAACCTGTAACGCTACTGACGGAAGCTGCACCTGTAGAGATGGCTGGACAGGAACTAACTGCACATCACGTATGTCCTACGTGAGGAGACAGTTCAATGTTAACGTTGCATCGGCAGTGTTTCAGCCACATAGCTACTCACGTTAGTCGACGTCAGTTCACTGGATACTGCTCTTTTGTGTAAATTGTGATGCATCTACAGTATGCTTATTACACATGCATATGCTATACATAGTGAACGGCTGTGAATGATTGAAGGATTAAATGCAATTGACGGAAATGTCCTATTTGTTTTAAAACAAATAGGTTATTTCCGTCAATTGCATTTATGAAAATAACAAGATCTTAATGTTTTACCCAAGCAACTAATATACATCTTGGACGTTACTTTACTCATTACTATCGTCGACCCGTGAAAATAGTAGAATAGGTCTTCAGCAACCCATGCTTGCCTTTAAAAATGACTATGCTTGTCGTAAGAGGCGACTAACGGGATCGCGTGGTCAGGCTCGCTGACTTGGTTGTTGCATGTCATCGACCCCAATTGCGTGGATCGATGCTCATGATATTAATCCCTGGATTGTGTGATCCAGATTCGATTATTTACAGACTGCCGTCATATAGTTGGAATATTGCTGAGTGCGGCGACCATTACCATTGTCGCTTGTAAATTCTCATGTGTATGCCTTAGATACAGATAGGTGTCATGTGGACATTTGAATGAGTGAGTGAGTATGGTTTTACGCCGCTTTTAGCAATATTCAAGCAATATCACGGCGGGGGACACCAGAAATTGGTTTCACACATTGTACCCATGTCGGAAATCGAACCCGGGTCTTCAGCATGACGAGCGAACGCTTTAACCACTAGGCTACCAGATCGCCCCTGTGGACAGTGGATGTGAACACATTGGAGGCTATGCCTGTTTCAGAAAGGTTTATAATGAAATTGGTATTAAACAACCTAGAAAATGACAGATACTTGACTTCTTACCAACGAAACTGATATATATGTTGTTGCAGAATTGCATTCTGTAATTCTCGTTCTTTATAGCATTTTTTGTTGCAAACAAATAAATCACTCGTACCATAAAGGTATTTATTATGACATTTATCTCAAGTGACAGATATGTCAAATGACTACACTCACAAACGATACAAGACAATTACAAGAATACGAGCTGTTCCAGAATGGGGGAACATGCTGTTTTCCAGCATGACACACGAGAGTGCGTAAAAGGTTAAACGCCAATAATTCGAAATGTGTAGAGAGCAATGATCCACTAAATATAGCATTGCCCCAAATAACAGTTTACAGCAGTAAACCAAGTCTCTATATCGTTGCTAAGTGATATCGGGGCGGTCTGACATTAGTCGAGTACAATGGGATACAATTATTTGTTTGTTTGCTGTTTAATGCCGTACTCAGCAGTATTCTTGCTAGATGACGGCGGTCTGTAAATAATCGAGTCTGGACCAGGCAATCCAGTGATTAATATCATGACCTTCGATCAACGCAATTGGGATACGATAACATGTAGTAATGAGTGAGTGAGTGAGTGAGTATGGTTTTACGCCGCTTTTAGCAATATTCCATCAATATCACGGCGGGGGACACCAGAAATGGGCTTCACACATTGTACCCATGTCGGGAATCGAACCCGGGTCTTCGGCGTGGCGAGCGAACGCTTTAACCACTAGGCTACCCGGCCGCCCCGATAACATGTAGTAAACAAGTCAGCGAGCCTAACAACCGATACCGTTAGTCGCCTCTTAGGACAAGCATGGAGACTAAAGCTGAAGACCAATTCTAACCCGGACTTCAACGGTCTGGGATACGATGAAGATTCTAAAATCTTATCAAAGTACGACTAATGAGCCAAGGAAATATATAAAATAATCAGTTTACATTATACACAATCAGCGAGAGGTCCGCGGTCATTTTAGTTGGTTCGCTAACAGTACACATCACACTACCTCATTACTTCATCTGCAGCTTGTGATGCCGGAACATATGGACGAAACTGTACAGAGAAGTGTAGCACGGGATGTAAACCAGAATCCTGCAACCACATCACCGGTGACTGCAACGGCCAGTGTAAAGACGGATGGAGGGGTCAGAGATGTGAACATCGTACGTTTTCATTGTCAGTCAATGTGGTGCATGGTGCCAGCGTCACCTTATATATCCATTTTGGGCATTGTATTTAACTAGTGTTTATCAGTCATTAGAGGTCAAACGACTGAGAGGTCAGTGATGTGAACGCAATACGTTTTCCCAACGGGATAGCTGCAATGCAATTTACCAAAAAGTATGATCATTCAAAAAAGAACCTTTGTACATGCATTCACTGTAAACGTACTCAATCTTTTCACATTGTCCTAGCTGCATGTATGTAATATATTTACCAGTTGACCAGTACTTACTATGCTAATTTGTAAACTGTAATGCGCCATTACATCATTTTCAGTCTGTGGTGCCGGGACATATGGACGAGACTGTAAAGGGTTTTGTAACACGGGATGTAAACCAGGGTCTTGCCACCACGTCACTGGAGACTGCAACAGCCAGTGTAAAGACGGATGGACAGGTCAGAGATGTGAACACAGTAAGTTTTCATTACCACGCCACGCCACCTAAAATTTTCATCGTGTTACCAGTCGACTTTGACATTTAAACAGTAGGTTAAACTGAGAGATGAGGTGAAATGGGGTTTAACGTCTCGTCCAAGATTATTGCACTTATATAGCGACGTGCATGCACCTGTGTGTGCATGGCTGCTTGAACTAGTCAGGAATGATGACGATTTATAGTGCTAGCTCACTGAGATACCATGCCGCAGTTTAACATGAATACCCCACTCAGACACAGTATACTGACTCCAAGCCGACCAGTCCTTGTTTTAGCCCCTTAATGCCGAGCGCCAGACAGGGTAACAACAAGTACCATCTTTTAACGTCTTTTGGTATGACGCGGTCGGGGATCGAACCCAGGACCTTCCGCTCTCCGGGCGGTCGCTCTACCACTAGACCACGGAGTTATTAAACTGAGAAATCCATACGCAAAAGAATTTACTGTGAAAACAACATATATCGAAGACATGTTACACAAATATAATTGTAATGTATAATTAACAAGGGTTACAAGTCAATACAAATTACTGCAAAGCCATTACATTGGCAGTACACATAAGTGGAAGTGGCAGCATAAAATACTATAGCAGTGGTAATATCAATACAGCCAGTAATATATTATTCGCCTGGCAGCAACTATGGTCAATCTTCCATGATAGGCGTAGGTGTGATATCCAGAGTGAATATATGATCTTCAAACAACCGCTGGTCTTGATGTAATGTGAGATGAGTGCGGCATGCACTTGCCCACATAAGTAGTCCAAATACCTTCTGCTAGATTAGCCTATAGCTGTTCTAGAAGATTCTAGATTACACTTGACTCCAAAAGCATCAAAATATAGTAACTTCAACACAGCTGCTTACATTAGATAGTCATACATTTCTGACAATTTATTTTTGTTAAAACATAATGTTATGAGCTTCTCCTCAATCTTAGCATTACATTGTTTAACAATAACATCCACTTCCATACAACAAGTGTGATTAACGTTCTCAGCATTGCAGTTCAACTGTTGTTGTTTATGTATAAAAACTTTAATTGGAGGCATTGCAAAGTACCACATTTTACATCTGCAGTTTGCATTGACGGAACATACGGACGAGACTGTACAGGGGAGTGTAGCGCAGGATGTAAACCAAGGTCCTGTCACCACGTCACCGGTGACTGCAACGGCCAGTGTAAAGACGGATGGACAGGTCCTCGTTGTGAAGAGCGTAAGTTTTATTGGCATTAATATTACAACTTGAAAAATTATGCAATAACTACTGCATGTTGTCAGTGTAAGTTTAGGGATCCTTTTCAATTTAGACATGAAAGCGCCTTACTTGGTAAGCTTCTGAATTATTTATCATGCTCTGAAAATGGAGGTGTTGTCTGAGTTATACATAAAAAGAGAAAGGTAGCGAGATGTTATGAGGAGTACCATGTGCGTAATCGTTCAAGCGTGTTATCATAGGCAAAGATTCCCCACATTGTGTGAAGCCAGTTCTTGGTGTCCCCGCTGTGTTTCGGGATTTTGTATTGCGACCAGGTATTATATTCAGCTATAATTGCAAAACCAGATATACATATTTCTTATTACTATTTTCTTCTCTTATAAAGCACATTGCAACAATATAGTTTTTAAGTAGATAATTTCTTTTTTTCCAACAATATGAAACATAATTATATTTTGCAAGAACAAGTTAGATATGTTCGATCCGTTTGTGTACTCTTAAAACAAGCGAAGGTTACTGAGGTCCAACTGTAACCTGGATTCACCATGAGAGACGTTGTCATTGTCATAGTTTAAGGTCACATTAATTCTGGTTTTCTAACATTATTCTGGTTTCGTCACTTTTAAAATTACAATTAGATAAGTTTTGTCCATTTCGATTGTAAACAATTGTGCCATATAAAACAAATATGACATGTCGAAAAACATTTAAAAAATTAATTTTGACAATCAAATGGACCTTATTGACAAAACTTTGTCGGACCTTTATTTCAGTTACTCGATGATGAAAAGGAAGAGTTACGTTCTTTGTGGCGTAATGATTATATTAACATGATTCTCATGTCAACATAATCAAGCAGAGCTAACACAATCCACCCGTACATCAAATAAATGATAGCGTTTAACTTTTAAATAATATTTTGTTGTAGGCAAAGCTTTGAAAACGTCCATTTAAGTCATGACGAGGAATTAGACCCAACTAAATGTTTCTTTTTGTTGCAAATATGTATGCGTGTAACTGGCGTAATTGAACAAGCATGGGAAGTCTGTTTTGTTTTACAGATACCGAGCTAGTGGAACACGAAGAGCCAGATATCGCATCTCCAAAAATATTTATCTGGATCTGGATCATCGCAATTGTGGTTTTGACTTTAGCTTTTCTGGCTTTCCTGAACAGGTGAGATTGTGGAATCAAAGTTCAGAAAAATAGATAGAATTGGAGATATATAACTAGTATATATCACTACTCCATATATATGTGCATAAACGTATACACTGTAAATGTACAGCAATCAGTTTCGTTAATCTGACATTTATCATACGGAGGTTTTATTTATCCATGACTGATGAAACTTGCACTTCCAAACCACTCCAAACACTTCGAATTCTCAACTTAATTTAACATATCGGTGAGTGAGTGATTTAGGTTTAACGCCGCTTGAACAGCATCTCAGATATGTCCCGGCGTGTCAACTGACAGTGGAAGGAAATCAAAAGTGACGTCATGTAGGTCGTAAGCGTTCACCACGTTTTCTCAATCGGTTTTAATTGATTGGTTTGTTGTTTTACGCCGCACTCAGCGATATTCCAGCTATATGACGGCGGTCTGTATATCGAGTCTGGACCAGACAGTCCAGTGATTGATATGAGCATCGATCCACGCAATTTAGATCAATGACATGCATCGGTACCCTTTCCGTTTGTATATTCACGTTCCTTCTTCTAAACCTGTCACGTGTTTTGGAGACCTTCCCAAGATTCACTGTACGCCTCATCATTGTTCAAAGAGTACCTTCCATTTTCATCTGACTCAGACGAAACCCTATTGAAAAAAATGCACGAGACCTGCATAATTCAACAGTGTAATCCGTGTATAGATACATTTCCTTAGATATCTTTTATCTATACTGACATTTCATTTCCCATTCAAAATGTTTGCTTGTTTGTTAAACGCCTCACTAAGCAATATTCCAGCTATATGACGGCGGTCTGTAAATAATCGAGGCTGGACCAGACAATCCAGTGATTGACATCATGAGCATCGATCCACGCAATTGAGATCGATGACATGCATCAACCAAGTCAGCGAGCCTGACCACCCGATCCCCTTAGTCGCCTCTTACGACAAGCATAGTCGCCTTTTATGGCAAGCATCGGTTGCTGAAGACCAATTCTACCCCGGTCGAATTTGGTTCAAAGCAACTTTGAACAGTAATTTCAGCTTGATGTTGGAGGAAAACCTATCTGATGTAAATCGTAGCCGCTAACCATTTAGGTAACACCCACGAGCATAGGTAAGGTGCTAACAAACCTAGAAACATTATTGGGATTCGAACCCACGATCTTAGTTTTTCTGCCCAAGGGCCGAATTCTCTAACGCCCTAGACGACTGTCCCCATGTCCCTTGAAGATGACCCTAAACTGTAACTACTTGACATCTTTTTATCCTTTCAGGAAATCCCTTGCGTCCTTGTGTGCAAGGTCCAGAAAGTCGGGAGATACCTCGGACATCCAACCCCCTTTAGAACAAGCCTCACAGGAACCGCCGAGCGTCGGACAACAATTGGAACACTGTCCCGAATAACTACAAGAGCCGCTAATGCGGTGAAAAAACAATATCAGAGACCAGAGATCTTTGGCAATAGCAACGCCTATGGGTCAATCCAGTAGTCGCACTGAGAACAACGTGATTATTTCTGAACTTAAATTTATTTTAAATTGTTTCACACTCATAGCTCAACATAGGCCCATGCTCCCAACCAAATACATGCACTGTCTGTTTGTTTGTGTGTTGTTTAACGCCGCACAATATTCCAGCTATGACGGCGATCTGTAAATAATCGAGTCTGGGCCAGACAGTCCCGTGATTGACATCATGAGCATCTATCCACGCAATTGGGATACGATTACAACAAACAAACAAAAGCCAGGTGTAACAAGTGAACATGTTGTTCCTGCATGCGCGACTCACACAATTTGCATAAACATGAGACTGTTGCCTGACGCCGTACAGCATACATTACTCCTGCAATGCGACGTCGACCTTTAAACAAACCAGGCAATCAAGTGATGGATTTAAAAACCCACACGATACCAATGCTCCTGGTCTGAGTGCTGAAGCTGCGAGATGTCGGTTATCGACTCAGAACACAACGGTGTTGTATGAATTCGTTAGTCAAGACATCCACCTTTCATAATAGGTCTTCAGCAACCCATGCTTGCCGTAAAAGGTGACTATGCTTGTCGCAAGAGGCGACTTACGGGATCGGGTGGTAAGGCTCGCTAACTTGGTTGATGCATGTCATCGGTCTCAATTGCGTGGATCGATGCTCATGTTGTCAATCACTGGATTGTCTGGTCCAGACTCGATTATTTACACACTGCCGTCATATAGCTTGAATGTTGTTGAGTGCGGCTTTAAACAACAAACAAACAAAGCAAATTGTCACTAAACGTGGTGACCATAGATATGGTTACTGCAAGAATGTGTTCATACTGAAAATAGGATTCTTGTCATAAAGTCTTATTTAATACATTTTTAACGACCGAAGGCTACTATGAGCTTAATTCAACATGCATCTCGCTAACATGCACTCCCTTGCGCTACACAAACATTCACAGTTTAGTATTTGATAGACTTTTAACACATACACAAAGCACGAGCGATTGGGGACCTATTCTTCCCTTGAATATCCTGGGATAATACAAAAGTTTAAGTGTATCAGAACTTTATATCGGGCGAAGTGTAGAATTGTTTGTGTCAGTGTGATTTTAAAACAGTATTCACGCGATAAGAAGGACTTACATTGGTGGTTGTGACTGATTACACCTTGGGTCAACTTTTCCCGTCTTCAGTAACTGGCATGATTACATATTTGTTTGTTGTTTAACACCGCGCGCAGCAATATTCGAGCTACATGACGGCGGTCTGTGAATAATAGGGCCATACAATCCAGTGATTGACATCATGAGCGTCGTTCTAAGCGATTGGGATTCGAGGACATGCATCAATCACGTCTGCGAGCCTGACCACCCGATCCCATTAGTCGCCTCTTACAAGCATAGTTGTCTCATACAAGCATAGTTGCCTCTTACGACAAGCATAGTCGCCTCTAACGACAAGCATAGTCGCCTCTTATGACAAGCATAGTTGCCTCCTGTGACAAGCATAGTCGCCTCTTACGACAACCCTAGTCGCCTCTTACGACAAGCATAGTTGCCTCTTACGACAAGCATAGTCGTCTCTTATAACAAGCATAGTTGCCTCCTGTGACAAGCATAGTCGCCTCTTACGACAAGCATTGATTCACGATCACAAGTGAACATTGTCAGTTGTCACAGTCAGCAATATTGCAGCTGCATCATAGAGGTACTGGGGTTCTTACCTGGAACTTACATTTGTATCTCAACGAAATCCTCTGTGCTTCATCAACAACTCGCTACATCTCTTGGCAGAGTTGTATCTGGCGTTGTTGACGTTGTCTCTGCAGGCGTTGTAGTTGTTGCTCCTCGCGACAGTTCTTTTGTAGTTACTGTCTGAGCTATCGCTGATTCATTCATTTATCTTTCTGAGTAAAACAAAGCCATTGAAACTTTTCGTTAACAACAGAAGTGAATTTGCTATATTTGTTTCATATTTTCATATTTGTTTATGTACATAAACTTTAATAATTACATATATTACTCACACGAGATCATCCGTTTAATAACAATACACCTGTATTACACATTGTGCAATTACATCACGTGCGGGCGGGGCTATTTTGGCATCAAATGGTCAATCGAATGGCGGCGTCCTCAGCACTGCAGCTGCACGCTGCAACGTCTACGATAGACATACTGTTTTTGTCACAACGCGTATTTGTTTGTTGTTTAACGACGCTGTCAGTAATATTCCAGCTACATGATGGTGGTCTGTAAATAATCTAGTCTGGACCAGACAATCCAGTGATTGAAATCATGAGCAGCGATCCACGCAATTGGAATACGATGACATGCACGTCAGCGAGCCTGACCACCCGATCCAGTTAGTCGCCTCTTACGACAAGCATAGTCGCCTTGGGATTCTGAAGACCTATTCTACCCCGGATCTTCAGTTTTTGAATATAGAACACGGACTCTCACGTTGTCTTGTAGCAGTGCAAGTATCGTGGCATAATAAAAGTTCAGAGAATCACTATTAAACAAAGTATTATGTCGAAAGATCATCACAGCCGCGTCTATTTGCATCCTTGAAGTTCGTGTTATAAATGAGAGTAGCGCCCCTTGGACCAACGAGATGTCTTCATGTCAACCGATGCAATCTCGGTCGTAAATCTTTCGTGTAGGTTAGCGGTAATTATAACTACTTTCATAACATATAAACCATCTGCTGACACGTTTGAAATCACATAACGAACAAGGCATGATCAACATCCGGGTTCCACTCATCAACACTGAACTGAGTTTGAAGCAGGAATTTCCGTTGCATGCAAATATTTTTAACTCTGTGATGTTTGTGTAAATAATTGATGTCATGAATATGATTTTAGAACCGGCATCATATCGTTTATTATAATCGTCTCCGAGAAAGCTTGGCACTGTTTTTGCTTGACTCCACCTTGACAGAACAGTCAATGGTCGTCCCCGTTAACTGTTAAACTCGTTATAGAATCGGTATCTAACGGGGACTCGTTTAGTAACATATATGGTATCTGCAATAACATATAAATATATATATTAATAATTGTGATATGTTATTGCGGATACCATATTTGTAAGAACTATACAAACATAATTACTGTATTTCAGCTGATAGTCTTCCCAGTAATAGACAGTGTTCAACACACATGTTGAATGGGTCAATGTTCCATAGGCCACACATATTTTTTTTACTTTTCGTTTCACAGGCCCGCCTCCCCTATTAAAAAAAGCATCCGGAAAAGAAAGAAATAAGAAATAATAATAATTATTTTGATTATGGCTCCCGCTAATAATAAAGACCGTCAATTAAAAAAATGTTATATATAAATGCCAAGTCTAAATCACCCTCAGTGATTCAAGAAGCCAGCGGCACTTTCAACTCCGCGGCAGAATGGTTTTCATTAAAAAAAATTAATAAATGATTGACATAGCTATTTGTTTTCATTTTTATTTCGACCGACCTTGTGTGAATGCGCTTGAATACATCCATGAAACATAAAATGTAAAAAAGTGTGGCCTTAACGTCGAAGTGAGAAATGTTCCAGCTACAGGCGACCTGAAGAATGACACACCTTCCAGGTAGGATGACACGTCTAACTCCCAGAGCCTAGCTAACCTATCCCCATTTTAGTAGGGAATGCTATCAAAAGGGGCGTTAAATCCAACATACTTACTCACTACTTTAGACCTGTGAAGATCCGAGGTAGAATAGGTCTGAGCGCCGAAGCTGCGAGACGTCGGTTATCGACTCGGGCGGTCAGGCTCGCTGATTTGGTTGATGCATGTCATCGTATCCTAATTGCGTGGATCGATGCTGATGATGTCAATCATTGGATTGTCTGGTCCAGACTCGTATATTTACAGACCGCCGTCATTTAGCTGGATATTGCTGACTGCGGCTTTGGACAAGTGTCCCCAACTTCTATATACAATAAATTAATTTTATTGCCATTCCACATTGAACAAAATAACAACGAAGTTGTTGCAGTTTGAAGGGTGTATCTGCAACATATATTAGATCATCGGCAAACAGGCTTGCTAAAATAGTATACAAAACATCTGATATGAAAATTCCATTAGCTACACTGGAGTTCAGATTTAACATTTAACATCTTTCTATGCATACCCTTCTCCAAAAGAAAACAACTATATTCCTAGTTAAACCATATCAAACGCTTCCTTAAAAATACGGAAGCACGGTAACATTTACCTGTCTTCCGTATTTTGGCTTTTTACTCAGACTGTAATATTAATATATTATCTGTAGTAGAGTGTTATTGACAAATAATATAAAAATATATTTATTATTATTGTGTAACATCTTCTAGCCCCACATATGGCTGAAATACTGCCGATGTGCTAACTTTTAACGGAGCGGTCGGATAGCCTAGTGGTTAAAGCGTCGAAGACCCGGGTTCGAATCCCGACATGGGTACAGTGTGTGAAGCCCATTTCTGGTGTCCCCCGCCGTGATATTGCTGGAATATTGCTATAAGCGGCGTAAAACCAAACTCACTCACTCACTAACTTTTAACTCACTCGCCCTTGTTCATCACCCAAAAGAGGTTTATATATGGGCAGCGACACCGGTCTTTGAACTTCCGTCGTGCCTTATAAACTTAAGGCGCGGACGTAAGAGTAAGCAACCGCCGCTCGAGTATATTTTCACCCCCAAAAGGCTGCCAAAAGTTATTGAGTGCATATTAACAATCTTTAATGCGACAATCAGTTTCATAACATAGCTGACAATGTCGCAAGTAGAGAAACGGTTTGTAAATAAAGTGAATGAAGAAAAAATGCGATATGATGAAGATGGTCGATGTGAAGAAAAGGCAAAAGATATAGTTAGGTTACAAATTAGAAATACAAGATTATTCTTAACCATACCCGACCAAACTGTATACTAATCAAACAATTGTGCACATTAATTTACTCAAAGAAGCAGGAAAAAGAATCTGAGGTTAGTTCTCATACATAAATGTATATAGGCTATTTCCCATGATTTCACTGGATGGTCAGCGTGTACACGAACTGTACATCGTCCATGAACATTTCATCTAAATGTTATCAACATTATGTTTTACATTAACACCCTTATATAACTTACCTTTGTCACACCTTGATGTGTTCGTGTCCTGATGGTCCCATCCATGTAGGCAATCATCACAATTCCCAGTGACTCGATCGCAGGTTTGGTTGGGACACCCAGGAGAGCACTGTAGTTGACAGTTTTTTCCAAACGTACCCGGGAGACAAGCTAAAAGGAAATAATTATCGTATATATTCTAGGTCACAAAAGCATACAATTATCAAATGTTATCCAAAAAAACATATTCTCACAAATATGCTCACCGCAAATGCTCCCCCCTTAATCGTAAGTGTCTTTTTCTAGAAAACAGAGGATATTTAGCTTTCTATTTATGTTAGTTCCACATGTACGAGGCAAAATAATAACAGATTGTCATTAATGGAGTTGATGTCGGTTCCTACTGTTTGTTATTTTCTTGAAAATGTTTCGTTATAAACTGTACACATCACATTTAACTCATCAACCGAGAATGTTGGTTTCACAAGTCCCATTTTGTTACTTGACCAGCATGTATTCATTCGCTTCCAACAACAGTCTTATAGATTTTTTGTTGAAGTTGATTTTGTATATAATCATATCCCAATGTATCTTAAAGACTTTTATTGAAAACAAACATATTTTTTTGTTATTTTGGTTTAAATGGTTTCAGATTTTGAAAAGATTAAACTACATTTTCAGTCCCAATTGCAGGGATGGTGAAACGTCCCTGCATGTTATCTAGGGAGAATTTACGTTTTGAGGTTGAACATTTGTAATTAAATCATTTTATTTTCCGCTAGGCACCTACACAAAAAGTGTATCATAAATATTCGTGAAAATATTCTCTTTCCCCCGTCACGAGATGAGAGAAGCATGATATTTCACGAGTTACATGGAATATCCACGAGATATTCTACAAAGATTTGATAGTTAACAGCAGGAAAGAAACGACTGACCTTTGTCACACCTTGATGTGTTCGAGTCCTGATGGTCCCATCCATGTAGGCAATCATCACAATACCCAGTGACTCGATCGCAGGTTTGGTTGGCACATCCAGGAGAACACTGTAGTTGACAGTTCTTTCCATACGTACCGGGGAGGCAAGCTTAAATGAAACAATTGTCGTAAACATTCTATGTCCCAATACCATACAATTATCAAATGTTATCAAAAAAATATATTCTCACAAATATTTGACATTTACCAGCAGTAAAGACACGACTGACCTTTGTCACACCTTGATGTGTTCGAGTCCTGATGGTCCCATCCATGTAGGCAATCATCACAATACCCAGTGACTCGATCGCAGGTTTGGTTGGCACACCCAGGAGAACACTTCAGTTGACAGTTCTTTCCATACGTACCAGGAAGACAAGCTACAAGGAACATATTGTCGTATACATTCTATGTCCAAATACCATACAATTATCAAATGTTATCAAAAAAATATATTCTCACAAATATTTGATATTTAACAGTAGGACAGACACGACTGACCTTTGTCACACCTTGATGTGTTCGAGTCCTGATGGTCCCATCCATGTAGGCAATCATCACAATACCCAGTGACTGACTCGATCGCAGGTTTGGTTGGCACACCCAGAAGAGCACTTCAGTTGACAATTCTTTCCATACGTACCAGCGACACATGCTGTTAGTAAATAACCGATATTTCAGTATTAGGTTACAATAGCATAATACATACAAAAACAATTGATAGTGTACAATGTTCTGATATAGCGATCTGACATTCGACGCCTCCGTTGGTGTTCAGAAGCCAGGCAGGTCCCGGTAATCTATGTTTGTCATAGGATGTGACTAAATTGATCGGATTGTGTCATCGTACCCGGACGTCGTTAAACGTTGCTGGCTTTAAAAAAAAAGAACCAACTAAACAAAATTATAATCGAAATCAAAATAGAGACTCGACGCACGACTTACTTTTGTCACACCTTGATGTGTTCGAGTCCTGATGGTCCCATCCATGTAGGCAATCATCACAGTACCCAGTGACTCGATCGCAGGTTTGGTTGGCACACCCAGAAGAGCACTTCAGTTGACAGTTCTTTCCATACGTACCAGGGAGACAAGCTACAAGGAACACATTATCGTTTACATTCTATGTCCAAATATATTACAATTATCAAATGTTATCAAAAAACATATTCTCACAAATATTTGATATTTAACAGCAGTAAAGACACGACTGACCTTTGTCACACCTTGATGTGTTCGAGTCCTGATGGTCCCATCCATGTAGGCAATCATCACAATTCCCAGTGACTCGATCACAGGTTTGGTTGGTACACCCAGGAGAGCACTTCAGTTGACAGTTCTTTCCATACGTACCGGGGAGGCAAGCTTAAATGAAACAATTGTCGTATACATTCTATGTCTCAATATCATACAATTATCAAATGTTATCAAAAATAAATTCTCACAAATATTTGACATTTACCAGCAGTAAAGACACGACTGACCTTTGTCACACCTTGATGTGTTCGAGTCCTGATGGTCCCATCCATGTAGGCAATCATCACAATACCCAGTGACTCGATCGCAGGTTTGGTTGGCACACCCAGGAGAACACTTCAGTTGACAATTCTTTCCATACGTACCAGGGAGGCAAGCTTAAATGAAACAATTGTCGTAAACATTCTATGTCTCAATATCATACAATTATCAAATGTTATCAAAAATAAATTCTCACAAATATTTGACATTAACCAGCAGTAAAGAACACGACTGACCTTTGTCACACCTTGATGTGTTCGAGTCCTGATGGTCCCATCCATGTAGGCAATCATCACAATACCCAGTGACTCGATCGCAGGTTTGGTTGGCACACCCAGGAGAGCACTTCAGTTGACAGTTCTTTCCATACGTACCAGGGAGACAAGCTACAAGGAACACATTGTCGTATACATTCTATGTCCCAATACCATACAATTAGCAAATGTTATCAAAAATATATTCTCACAAATATTTGATATTTAACAGTAGGATAGACACGACTGACCTTTGTCACACCTTGATGTATTCGAGTCCTGATGGTCCCATCCATGTAGGCAATCATCACAATACCCAGTGACTCGATCGCAGGTTTGGTTGGCACACCCAGGAGAACACTTCAGTTGACAATTCTTTCCATACGTACCGGGGAGGCAAGCTTAAATGAAACAATTGTCGTATACATTCTATGTCCCAATACCATACAATTATCAAATGTTATAAAAAAATATATTCTCACAAATATTTGACATTTAACAGCAGTAAAGAACACGACTGACCTTTGTCACACCTTGATGTGTTCGGGTCCTGATGGTCCCATCCATGTAGGCAATCATCACAATACCCAGTGACTCGATCGCAGGTTTGGTTGGCACACCCAGGAGAGCACTTCAGTTGACAGTTCTTTCCATACGTACCAGGGACACATGCTGTTAGGAAATAACCGATATTTCAGTATTAGGTTACAAAAGCATAATAAATGCAAACAACAATTTATAGTGTACAATGTTCTGATATAGCGATCTGACATTCGACGCCTCCGTTGGTATTCAGAAGCCAGGCAGGTCCCGGTAATCTATGTTTGTCATAGGATGTGACTAAATTGATCGGATGGTGTCATCGTACCCGGACGTCGTGAAACGTTGCTGGCTTAAACAAAAAAGAACCAACTAAACAAAATTATAATCGAAATCAAAATAGAGACTCGACGCACGACTTACTTTTGTCACACCTTGATGTGTTCGAGTCCTGATGGTCCCATCCATGTAGGCAATCATCACAATACCCAGTGACTCGATCGCAGGTTTGGTTGGCACACCCAGGAGAACACTTCAGTTGACAATTCTTTCCATACGTACCGGGGAGGCAAGCTTAAATGAAACAATTGTCGTAAACATTCTATGTCCCAATACCATACAATTATCAAATGTTATAAAAAAATATATTCTCACAAATATTTGACATTTACCAGCAGTAAAGACACGACTGACCTTTGTCACACCTTGATGTGTTCGGGTCCTGATGGTCCCATCCATGTAGGCAATCATCACAATTCCCAGTGACTCGATCGCAGGTTTGGTTGGCACACCCAGGAGAGCACTTCAGTTGACAGTTCTTTCCATACGTACCAGGGACACATGCTGTTAGGAAATAACCGATATTTCAGTATTAGGTAACAAAAGCATAATAAATGCAAACAACAATTTATAGTGTACAATGTTCTGATATAGCGATCTGACATTCGACGCCTCCGTTGGTATTCAGAAGCCAGGCAGGTCCCGGTAATCTATGTTTGTCATAGGATGTGACTAAATTGATCGGATGGTGTCACCGTACCCGGACGTCGTTAAACGTTGCTGGCTTAAACAAAAAAAGATACCAACTAAACAAAATTATAATCGAAATCAAAAAAGAGACTCGACGCACGACTTACTTTTGTCACACCTTGATGTGTTCGAGTCCTGATGGTCCCATCCATGTAGGCAATCATCACAATACCCAGTGACTCGATCGCAGGTTTGGTTGGCACACCCAGGAGAACACTTCAGTTGACAATTCTTTCCATACGTACCGGGGAGGCAAGCTTAAATGAAACAATTGTCGTAAACATTCTATGTCCCAATACCATACAATTATCAAATGTTATAAAAAAATATATTCTCACAAATATTTGACATTTACCAGCAGTAAAGACACGACTGACCTTTGTCACACCTTGATGTGTTCGGGTCCTGATGGTCCCATCCATGTAGGCAATCATCACAATTCCCAGTGACTCGATCGCAGGTTTGGTTGGCACACCCAGGAGAGCACTTCAGTTGACAATTCTTTCCATACGTACCAGGGACACATGCTGTTAGGAAATAACCGATATTTCAGTATTAGGTTACAAAAGCATAATAAATGCAAAAAACAATTTATAGTGTACAATGTTCTGATATAGCGATCTGACATTCGACGCCTCCGTTGGTATTCAGAAGCCAGGAAGGTCCCGGTAATCTATGTTTGTCATAGGATGTGACTAAATTGATCGGATGGTGTCATCGTACCCGGACGTCGTTAAACGTTGCTGGCTTAAACAAAAAAAGAACCAACTAAACAAAATTATAATCGAAATCAAAATAGAGACTCGACGCACGACTTACTTTTGTCACACCTTGATGTGTTCGAGTCCTGATGGTCCCATCCATGTAGGCAATCATCACAATACCCAGTGACTCGATCGCAGGTTTGGTTGGCACACCCAGGAGAACACTTCAGTTGACAATTCTTTCCATACGTACCGGGGAGGCAAGCTTAAATGAAACAATTGTCGTAAACATTCTATGTCCCAATACCATACAATTATCAAATGTTATAAAAAAATATATTCTCACAAATATTTGACATTTAACAGCAGTAAAGACACGACTGACCTTTGTCACACCTTGATGTGTTCGGGTCCTGATGGTCCCATCCATGTAGGCAATCATCACAATTCCCAGTGACTCGATCGCAGGTTTGGTTGGCACACCCAGGAGAGCACTTCAGTTGACAGTTCTTTCCATACGTACCAGGGACACATGCTGTTAGGAAATAACCGATATTTCAGTATTAGGTTACAAAAGCATAATAAATGCAAACAACAATTTATAGTGTACAATGTTCTGATATAGCGATCTGACATTCGACGCCTCCGTTGGTATTCAGAAGCCAGGCAGGTCCCGGTAATCTATGTTTGTCATAGGATGTGACTAAATTGATCGGATGGTGTCATCGTACCCGGACGTCGTTAAACGTTGCTGGCTTAAACAAAAAAAAGAACCAACTAAACAAAATTATAATCGAAATCAAAATAGAGACTCGACGCACGACTTACTTTTGTCACACCTTGATGTGTTCGAGTCCTGATGGTCCCATCCATGTAGGCAATCATCACAATACCCAGTGACTCGATCGCAGGTTTGGTTGGCACACCCAGGAGAACACTTCAGTTGACAATTCTTTCCATACGTACCGGGGAGGCAAGCTTAAATGAAACAATTGTCGTATACATTCTATGTCCCAATACCATACAATTATCAAATGTTATAAAAAAATATATTCTCACAAATATTTGACATTTACCAGCAGTAAAGACACGACTGACCTTTGTCACACCTTGATGTGTTCGGGTCCTGATGGTCCCATCCATGTAGGCAATCATCACAATTCCCAGTGACTCGATCGCAGGTTTGGTTGGCACACCCAGGAGAGCACTTCAGTTGACAGTTCTTTCCATACGTACCAGGGACACATGCTGTTAGGAAATAACCGATATTTCAGTATTAGGTTACAAAAGCATAATAAATGCAAAAAACAATTTATAGTGTACAATGTTCTGATATAGCGATCTGACATTCGACGCCTCCGTTGGTATTCAGAAGCCAGGCAGGTCCCGGTAATCTATGTTTGTCATATGATGTGACTAAATTGATCGGATGGTGTCATCGTACCCGGACGTCGTTAAACGTTGCTGGCTTAAACAAAAAAAGATACCAACTAAACAAAATTATAATCGAAATCAAAAAAGAGACTCGACGCACGACTTACTTTTGTCACACCTTGATGTGTTCGAGTCCTGATGGTCCCATCCATGTAGGCAATCATCACAATACCCAGTGACTCGATCGCAGGTTTGGTTGGCACACCCAGGAGAACACTTCAGTTGACAATTCTTTCCATACGTACCGGGGAGGCAAGCTTAAATGAAACAATTGTCGTAAACATTCTATGTCCCAATACCATACAATTATCAAATGTTATAAAAAAATATATTCTCACAAATATTTGACATTTACCAGCAGAAAAGACACGACTGACCTTTGTCACACCTCGATGTGTTCGGGTCCTGATGGTCCCATCCATGTAGGCAATCATCACAATTCCCAGTGACTCGATCGCAGGTTTGGTTGGCACACCCAGGAGAACACTTCAGTTGACAATTCTTTCCATACGTACCGGGGAGGCAAGCTTAAATGAAACAATTGTCGTATACATTCTATGTCTCAATATCATACAATTATCAAATGTTATCAAAAATAAATTTTCACAAATATTTGACATTTAACAGCAGTAAAGACACGACTGACCTTTGTCACACCTTGATGTGTTCGGGTCCTGATGGTCCCATCCATGTAGGCAATCATCACAATTCCCAGTGACTCGATCGCAGGTTTGGTTGGCACACCCAGGAGAGCACTTCAGTTGACAATTCTTTCCATACGTACCGGGGAGGCAAGCTTAAATGAAACAATTGTCGTAAACATTCTATGTCCCAATACCATACAATTATCAAATGTTATAAAAAAATATATTCTCACAAATATTTGACATTTACCAGCAGTAAAGACACGACTGACCTTTGTCACACCTTGATGTGTTCGGGTCCTGATGGTCCCATCCATGTAGGCAATCATCACAATTCCCAGTGACTCGATCGCAGGTTTGGTTGGCACACCCAGGAGAGCACTTCAGTTGACAATTCTTTCCATACGTACCAGGGACACATGCTGTTAGGAAATAACCGATATTTCAGTATTAGGTTACAAAAGCATAATAAATGCAAACAACAATTTATAGTGTACAATGTTCTGATATAGCGATCTGACATTCGACGCCTCCGTTGGTATTCAGAAGCCAGGCAGGTCCCGGTAATCTATGTTTGTCATAGGATGTGACTAAATTGATCGGATGGTGTCACCGTACCCGGACGTCGTTAAACGTTGCTGGCTTAAACAAAAAAAGAACCAACTAAACAAAATTATAATCGAAATCAAAATAGAGACTCGACGCACGACTTACTTTTGTCACACCTTGATGTGTTCGAGTCCTGATGGTCCCATCCATGTAGGCAATCATCACAATACCCAGTGACTCGATCGCAGGTTTGGTTGGCACACCCAGGAGAACACTTCAGTTGACAATTCTTTCCATACGTACCGGGGAGGCAAGCTTAAATGAAACAATTGTCGTAAACATTCTCTGTCCCAATATCATACAATTATCAAATGTTATAAAAAAATATATTCTCACAAATATTTGACATTTACCAGCAGTAAAGACACGACTGACCTTTGTCACACCTTGATGTGTTCGGGTCCTGATGGTCCCATCCATGTAGGCAATCATCACAATTCCCAGTGACTCGATCGCAGGTTTGGTTGGCACACCCAGGAGAGCACTTCAGTTGACAGTTCTTTCCATACGTACCAGGGACACATGCTGTTAGGAAATAACCGATATTTCAGTATTAGGTTACAAAAGCATAATAAATGCAAACAACAATTTATAGTGTACAATGTTCTGATATAGCGATCTGACATTCGACGCCTCCGTTGGTATTCAGAAGCCAGGAAGGTCCCGGTAATCTATGTTTGTCATAGGATGTGACTAAATTGATCGGATGGTGTCATCGTACCCGGACGTCGTTAAACGTTGCTGGCTTAAACAAAAAAAGAACCAACTAAACAAAATTATAATCGAAATCAAAATAGAGACTCGACGCACGACTTACTTTTGTCACACCTTGATGTGTTCGAGTCCTGATGGTCCCATCCATGTAGGCAATCATCACAATACCCAGTGACTCGATCGCAGGTTTGGTTGGCACACCCAGGAGAACACTTCAGTTGACAGTTCTTTCCATACGTACCGGGGAGGCAAGCTTAAATGAAACAATTGTCGTAAACATTCTATGTCCCAATACCATACAATTATCAAATGTTATAAAAAAATATATTCTCACAAATATTTGACATTTAACAGCAGTAAAGACACGACTGACCTTTGTCACACCTTGATGTGTTCGGGTCCTGATGGTCCCATCCATGTAGGCAATCATCACAATTCCCAGTGACTCGATCGCAGGTTTGGTTGGCACACCCAGGAGAGCACTTCAGTTGACAGTTCTTTCCATACGTACCAGGGACACATGCTGTTAGGAAATAACCGATATTTCAGTATTAGGTTACAAAAGCATAATAAATGCAAAAAACAATTTATAGTGTACAATGTTCTGATATAGCGATCTGACATTCGACGCCTCCGTTGGTATTCAGAAGCCAGGCAGGTCCCGGTAATCTATGTTTGTCATAGGATGTGACTAAATTGATCGGATGGTGTCATCGTACCCGGACGTCGTTAAACGTTGCTGGCTTAAACAAAAAAAGAACCAACTAAACAAAATTATAATCGAAATCAAAATAGAGACTCGACGCACGACTTACTTTTGTCACACCTTGATGTGTTCGAGTCCTGATGGTCCCATCCATGTAGGCAATCATCACAATACCCAGTGACTCGATCGCAGGTTTGGTTGGCACACCCAGGAGAACACTTCAGTTGACAGTTCTTTCCATACGTACCGGGGAGGCAAGCTTAAATGAAACAATTGTCGTAAACATTCTATGTCCCAATACCATACAATTATCAAATGTTATAAAAAAATATATTCTCACAAATATTTGACATTTACCAGCAGTAAAGACACGACTGACCTTTGTCACACCTTGATGTGTTCGGGTCCTGATGGTCCCATCCATGTAGGCAATCATCACAATTCCCAGTGACTCGATCGCAGGTTTGGTTGGCACACCCAGGAGAGCACTTCAGTTGACAATTCTTTCCATACGTACCGGGGAGGCAAGCTTAAATGAAACAATTGTCGTAAACATTCTATGTCCCAATACCATACAATTATCAAATGTTATCAAAAAATATATTCTCAGAAACATTTGATATTTACCAGCAGTAAAGACACGACTGACCTTTGTCACACCTTGATGTGTTCGAGTCCTGATGGTCCCATCCATGTAGGCAATCATCACAATACCCAGTGACTCGATCGCAGGTTTGGTTGGCACACCCAGGAGAACACTTCAGTTGACAATTCTTTCCATACGTACCGGGGAGGCAAGCTTAAATGAAACAATTGTCGTAAACATTCTATGTCCCAATACCATACAATTATCAAATGTTATCAAAAAATATATTCTCACAAACATTTGATATTTACCAGCAGTAAAGACACGACTGACCTTTGTCACACCTTGATGTGTTCGAGTCCCGATGGTCCCATCCATGTAGGCAATCATCACAATACCCAGTGACTCGATCGCAGGTTTGGTTGGGACATCCAGGAGAGCACCGCAGTTGACAATTTTTTCCATACGTACCGAGGCGACAGGCTAGAAGGAATAGGTGTAGTATTAATGTGATATCAAATAGTCATAAACATATGATATCATGCGTTCTGAATATATTCTGCAAATATCTGATCTCGACAGCAGTTATTCAAAATATAGAAAATAAATCGCGTCCTGATTGTTCCTATTCCTGCTGCCCAGTGACACGATGGCAGGTATGCTTGACACATCCACTTTTTTATACTCCCAGCAGAAAATCACTAAATTTCGCACCAGAGAATAAGCGAAATGTTCACAATAAATTAGGTCTGCTTCAGATACCGACATGACATGTTAATATGGAAGAAATAGCCTTGTTGCTACATTTCTAGTTCAAATGTGCCAAGATGGAAGTAGCTGTATGCATTACATTACACGAATACAAAGTCTTATAGTTTGTTACATTACATAGTGTATTTCTGAAAGGCGTTTGAACATAACAGTAATACATCAAATAAGTGGTATTTTCTCAAGGGACAAGAAAACGTTCAGAGACTTACATAGCGAACATGTTGGTCCATACCATCCCTCTGTGCAGCTACATTTACCAGAAGCTGAATGGCATGTACCACCTTCACATCCTTCTCTACACTGATATCTGCAATCCCGCCCGTATGTACCCGTCCGGCACTCTGTGAAGGACACGTTTGCTAGTTATCACTTTTCAAATGCTTCGACAACCACAACCTTACAAAATATATCACCGCGGGGGATACCAGAAATGGGCTTCACACATTGTACCAATGTTGGGAATCGAAACCCAGGTCTTCGGCGTGACGTGTGAACGCTTTAACCACTAGGCTACCCAATAGCCCCTATGACACAATGTGTACGAGCGTATCCTGCTCACAGTGTGTCTTCCCTCGTAGAAGGAGCGGAAAACTAGTTACGTGTAGTTTTCATAGAGTTCAGATGAAGCGACTTTAACACTCTTCACAAGACTGTATGACAAGAGGGATGACTTCAACTTTCCAAAATTCAACTTTCTCTTCATGTCGAGCAATATCCCAGCAGCTCCATCCTTTGTAGTTTACATTTCACAACTTTTGAGATACAATCGAGCATGTTCTTTCTACCAAGATTTCAAAGAGCGTCATACGACTCTTGCTCGAAATTGTTAGATCAAGGTTCCAACATTCAAGGCCTCAGGTAAAACTTTCAAAAACTTTCCAATTTCGAATCAGTGAATTCCCTATTTTGACTTTTCTGGTGAACAATTGACTTGCCTTTGCATTTGTTTGTGACGGGTGCCACCGGTGGGGCAGGATACGCTCACCTTTTCGCAACCACCTGGTATCCTTACCATTTGACGGCGATTCCTAAACACATTCTCATGATATAGTCGGAATCGTACAATCGACTCTGCTTTTTGCAGAGATTTCTATTGGACATGGAGAGAGATTTATCGCTTTATTTACCTCTGGTACATCTATGTCCAGACCAGCCTGCTTTACAGTTACATCTACCATTAGCTGCGTGACACATTCCACCATCACACCCACGCCCACATGCGTATCTGCAGCCATGTCCGTATGTACCCTCTCTACAATCTGTGAAGGGTAAAATCAATATTCAGTAACACACCAGTCCAAATTATTCAGCCTAACAACACTTGAACTATCACGTTTATGTACCACACCAACAGAAACTCATTCTTTTAATAAAGACACGGTAGTTGTGTAAGATGTATGTATATATCCACCTCTGATTTGGTTTTTCACTTCCTTGTATTGACAGGATCACTTTACTCTGAAGGTTGATTTCTCAACATTATCGAAGCAACAGCTCAATATCGTATGAAAGAAGCATCAATTGACTTACGTCTGGTGCACATCGGTCTAGACCATCCAACTGAGCAGTTACATCTGCCATTAGTTGGGTGACAGGTTCCACCTTCACATCCATTTCCACACCGATATCTGCAGTCTTCTCCATATGTACCCTTCCTACACTCTGTGGAAAATCATCGGTGTTAATACTGAGACGGCAGCCTATAATAATAACATATGCGAATCCGTCCATGCCATTTTAAAGTGTTCATCTTTGCGTAGCTGTACATATCATCATGCAACTGCCAACGTCAATGAAAAAATGTACTTGCATAATATAAAAACACGAAGTGCGACATTCTTAACGTGTCAACTGCTTTGACTGATTGGCAGTTCAAACTCCACCTAATGTTTGTCATTTGGACGATCATCAAAGAAGCCATATCCATGCGCTTTATTTAAACCGAGGAGTAAACGAAACTATACCTCTCTGTTTATTTTATAATGTTTTTTTTCAGGTGAAACTATCCTAAGTTAGAGGTATTGCTTAGTCAGCACTCAAAATGAGTGAGTTGGGTTTAACGCCGCTTTTAACAGTATTCCAGTTATATCACGGCGTGTCAGCTTAATGTGGGCGGTAAGCCTGAAGTGATGCAGGTCTCAGACATTTACCACTTTGGTGAAACCCACGAGCACGGGTATGGTGCTGACAAACCCAGAAACATAATATACATATATATGTTCTATAATGCACAACAGCGCGTGGGTTTCTTAAACATCTTATCTTTGAAAATCAATAAATTTGCTTTTTTCTGGCACAAATCTATAGCATTTCAAACACGGTAGGGATCATGCAAATCCATCTCTTATCCAAGTCTTCATTGCACTAGTTTATGCTTACACAAAATTAGCCAGCCGCAGATTACTTTATACAAACTGTGACGGTTAAATAGACATAACCAAATTTATCAACAGCTTAATTACAATTAAAACGACATCTGTATACTTAAAGTTTCATTTGGCCCTCAGTTTATAAAAACGCATTGCGGACATCATTATGTCAAAGTGTTTCACATAACGTCACAATTCACATTTTTAGCTACCATACCTAAACCACTGACAGTCGTAAGGCAGATCTGTAATTGTCACACAAACATATTTCACCGAAACTAATTCTGTGTACCTGTGAACACATAACGATATTTTCGATAGATGGGTCACTGGCGGGGTGTAGAGCATGCATGCATGGTACATTTACCTTTGTCACACAGAGGGCCTTCATATGTTGGAGCACAACCCGAGGGACAGGATGTTGTTGTGTTGAGACAGTCCCGTCCGTCCCGACAGTTACACTCCCGACCGCACGGACCGTCACCAATACATTCTGACCAGATTAGCGTACATGTTATAATGGGCGGGAGAGAACAGCACTTTATTTCTCTCAGGCCGAGTGCATCGGCATATGAGGTACAAACAGTATTTTACATTGCGAGGGACAGAGGTTCATCGGGAGCTTTTACAATTTTCATCATAATGTTAACAAATTTTCAAAGTTTCTTTTGAACAGCTATCTCATGGCAGTTAAATAATTGCTGCAGTTGTAACATATTTGGTCTTTTTGAATAGTGTTTTGGGATGTGCATGTCCCTTTGTTCATTAAAATATTTACATTTGAAGATATAGTGGAATTCATCTCCAATGCCAATACGATCACACAACTTGCATTAACGTTCATTCAACGGAGTTTTATTCCATATTCCGGATTCTATTGGCAGGCGGTCCTAAGGAATAGCAATTGAAAAGATAAGTGGGGAGGAATGTTTATTAAATAAGTTTCAAGTTTATGTGCGATTTTAAAAATACGATATATGGAGCATTAACTGGAATTTGAAATATCCGCTTTCCAAGATTGCCAATATGTATCAGAGAGAGTTTTGTAGACATATGATTTCTACCAGGAGGGCCAATGACAATGTCCAATGCAATAATAGCTCTTAAAACCTTTGAATGAAAAAGTATCTTTCATTTTGTAAAAGGTTTATAAGGGTCCTTTTTGGCTCATTTGTGCTGCATAGGGAAGTAATTGAAACATTATTGCATACTGAATACAGTACAGTTAACTACGGTTATAACAAACTCAAATGGACCACTAATTTTAGTTCCTTATAAGCGTGTTGGTTATGGGCAAAGTTTACTGTATACACATATGGTCATGAATTTTCTCACTATCGGCGTGACGGGCGAACGCTTTTACAACAAGGCTACCATCAGCGCCGCTGATTCTCATTGAATGAAACATAGAATTATATATATATATAATTTATATAAATACTGTAAATCTTGAAACTAACGGGAGCATGAATTAAATGCGAAAAATGCGAGTGGCCTTTGTTGGCATTAATGAAACTTCACATTTATGTCCCCAAAATGACTATAAACAATAAAACGGCCTCACTGCACACTTTAGATAGCGGAAATACCAACTTGAATATAAACACAAACACGGTTTATTGAGCAGCTGTTATATAAAATGTCATTCAAAGAATAGGAATTACACAATAGGCATCAGTTGAGTTTTCACTGCTGGGGTCAAAAGTTTAGTATTATGCTGTGTACTTGCCAAAGGCTACTTCCATTTCACAAACTGAGACTCCGGGTATTATTGTAAGTTCTGAGATTCTCTGTGTGCCTCTGTACAGGTACTCCGTCGACGTCATGGAAACGCTTCTGTATTTTTTCGCTGTTGTCCATCTGCCGCCAATCAGCCGAACGTACAGTGAAGGCTGTGGTGACTGGCCTGGGGGAAGACATTGACACATTGACACCAACTGGTGTTGTACATGACGTTAATAATGCTGAGCACGAGTTATAAAAAAACTGTTTTTAACTCAGCAATATTACAGCTACACATTTGAAAATAATCGAGTCTGGACCAGACTGTGATTGACATCATGAGCATCGATCTACACAATTTGGATACGATGACGCATCAGCCGACTCTTGCGACAAGGGTTGCTGAAGATCACATCTTACTTCACGGGTTATAACAATACCAAAATATGACGCAACATAATGTATGTCCTTTACACATATTAAATAAACATTTCCATGTACCTGAACTTCAGACATATATTCTTCTCAAAACAAATTTGAGTATGTTTTCTCTCAATGGTTTTGAGACAAAGTAGACACAATTTATGGATAACAACTTCTTTAATACTGTAAAGGCGACGTTTCGGTATTAATCAATATATCGTTATCAAGCATCATGACGTCAGCCTTGCTTGACAAGGGTATAAGGATCGATACCGAAACTTCGCCTTTACAGTAATTACACAAGTTGTTATCCTTAAATAATGACTACGTATACGGACATCATGACGTCAGTCTTGCTTGACAAGGGTATAAGGATCTATACCGAAACGCCGCCTTTACAGTAATTACACAAGTTGTTATCCTTAAATAATGACTACGTATACGGACATCATGACGTCAGTCTTGCTTGACAAGGGTATAAGGATCTATACCGAAACGCCGCCTTTACAATAATTACACAAGTTGTTATCCTTAAATTGAGTCTACTTCGTCATCCGTCAACTTCTAAGTAATGCCTATCAAACGATTAGTTTTTAAGATATGTCTGCAACGCTACATGATCACTTTGGTTGTCGAGGAACTTGATACATCGATACATAATAAACTCGACGGACTCAAACACACTGAGTACACAATATCAACAAAAGAGTACGTTACTGAGTATGGTTGTACGCCGCTTTTAGCAATATTCCAGCAATATAAAGGCAGGTGACACAAGATATGGGTTTCACGCATTGTACCCACGTGAGGAATCGAACCCGGGCCTTCGGCATGACGAGCGAACGCTTTAACTACCAGGCTACCCCACCGCCCTATACACAATAGAAGAGCTCAAACACGTCTCCAGCTCCCTGGATCGGATGTCAGATGATCCTTCTTGAGAAGGTATATGTGTATATAGACCAATACCTATTTTATGAGAAAACCGGATGATATTGAACCGCGCTGGTGGAGCAACACGTCTGCAATTGATGTGGGATCTGCTACATGTGTTGATATCTCCATCAGACACAGCTGTATGTCTGCATGACGAGCGAACGCTTTAACTACCAGGCTACCCCACCGCCCTATACACAATAGAAGAGCTCAAACACGTCTCCAGCTCCCTGGATCGGATGTCAAGTGATCCTCCTTGAGAAGGTATATGTGTATATAGACCAATACCTATTTTATGAGAAAACCGGATGATATTGAACCGCGCTGGTGGAGCAACACGTCCGCAGTTGATGTGGGATCTGCTACATGTGTTGATATCTCCATCAGACACAACAGTATGTCTGCATGACGAGAAGGCAATAACGTTGGCTGAAAAGTACATAATAGAACTATAGTGGCAAGTGAGTGAGTGAGTTGGCTTTTATACCGCCCTAACAATATTCGGTTATTTAACGGCGTTTCACCTTGGTGAACGCCACGATCCCGGATATGGTGCAAGAATCATTATAACCACGAATCAGGGATTCGAACCTACGATCAAAGGATCTGACATGCCCAATGGGCGCTGTAGATGACTGGGACACACTTGCCCTTGATTTCTCTCAGACGCTGGCATATATACATTGTTCCATAGAAATGGTGGTAGTGAAATGGTCGTTAACGTTGTGTATATCTTGTTACCCATTATGGGGGCACGGGTGGCCAAGTCGTCTAAGGCGCCGCGATACGCTTTGCAATGTTGCGTCCCTTGGGCATGCCAGAAACCTATGATTGTGGGTTCGAATCCCGGTTCGCCCCGGTAATGTTTCTAGGTTTGTCAGCACCATACCATGGCTCGTGGGTTTCACTGAAGTGGTAAACGTCTGAGACCTGCATCACTTCGGGCTTTCCTCCCACATTAAGCTGACATGCCGCGATATATCTGGAATACTGTTACCCATTATACGTACAAGGTGAGATGAGGTGAAATGGGATTCATAGTCGTATTCAAGATGTTTGCACTTATGTACCAACGTGCATTCCTTGTCTACGTTTCTCTGTGTTTGTGGGTAAGTGTATGTGCGTGCGTGTTTATGTGCGTGGCTACTTGTACAAGTCCGGACTAATACCGGCTGCATAAATCTAGCACACTAA